GACTGTACTTTGAGGCAAACCTTTGTGGAGTGATGTCCAGTTCGATTATATAGTATTTACTATCGTCTACTGTTGCCTGTTGCTGATGAAGTTACAACTCAACTCAAGTAGCGATTCTGAGAAAACCAGACTACTCAAATTAAATTTAAAAAACTCATAATAATTGAGTCAAAAGTTTTTGAAAGATCCAATCAAGCTACGGCGACGTATTTTTTTCTGTTCATAGATTTTCCGGCTGAAAACAATAATCTCAATTCTGTCAGTGATTAGTTTTAAATTATATCCTGTAAATTATTCAGAAAAATTTCGACAAAATTCTTGCAGATGCTGAAGAGCAAAATTATTATTATGTGACTGTAAAAATTAAAGTATCATCTGTATATTGCACTACTTTGCAATTTTCGGTTAATTGTTTGCTTAGAACATTTATATAGAGGGGGAAAATTTAAGGTCCTAAGACTGTACCTTGATTGAGGCACATCTTGGTGGAGTGATATCTAGCTCTTTACTATAGTATTTTGTTGCCTGTTGCTGATGAAGCAATAAATCATCTCAATAACCGATTGAGAGAAACCCAGACTGTTTAATTTAGGTTTAAGGAACTCATGATCGATTGAGTTAAAAGCTTTTGAAAGATCCAATCAGGCTACGGCGACGTACTTCTTTCTGTCCATAGGTTTTCTTGCTGAAAACAAAAAGCTCAATTCTGCCAGTGACTAGTTTTAAATTATGTCCTGTAAAATAATGAGAAAAACTTCCTCAAAATTCCTGCAGATGCTGAAGAGCAAAATTATTATGTGGTTGTAAAAAATTAAGGTATCATCTGCATTTTGCACTACTTTGCAATTGTCGGTTATTTGTTTGCTTAGATCATTTATATAGAGGTGGAAAATTAGAGGCCCTAAGACTGTACCTTGAGTGAGGCACATCTTGGTGGAGTAATATCCAGTTCGATTCTGTGTTATTTACTATAGACTTTTGTTGCCTGTTGCTGATGAAGTGATAAATCATCTCGTTAATCGATTGAGAGAAACCCACACTGTTTAATTTAGGTTTAAAAAACTCATGATCGATTGAGTCAAAAGCTTTTGTAAGATACAATCAGGCTACGACGACGTACTTCTTTCTGTCCATAGAATTTCTTGCTGAAAACAACAAGCTTAGTTCTCTCAGAGATTAGTTTTAGATAATGTCCTGTAAGTTCATGAGAAAATTTTTGAAAAGATTCATACAGATGCTGAAGAGCAAAACATACAGGCGAAGTGTATTAACGCACAGTTTTTTCGATTGAACTCTTCATTTTTTATTTGATAGGGTAGTTTTTAAAAAAAATCAAAAAGTTTCTGAAAAACGGCAAAAAAAATACAAATTTTTGACTTTCCATATTCTGTAACTTCTTTGGTAAAAAAGGCGGGTCGTGGATGCTTAAGCAGAGAAGAACCAGACAACTCGGTTTCTCGATTGAACTTTTAGTTAGAGAAGAGGCAGGGTAAGTTAGTCAAGAAAATTATAAAAATTTCTAAATTTTTTACGAAGACTATACCTGTTTTTGAAAAAAAACGGTCGTAGCCAATTAGAAAGGCAGCTTTTTCAACAAACAGGGACTTCAAGCAAAACCTTGATATTAGATTTGGCAGAATAATTATTGGGAAAAATCGAAAAGATTCAAAAAAAGGTCAAAAATCAAAAATTTGACCCTTCTGAGAATTTTAGCTTTGTGTTACAAAAAATGAGCGTAGCTGTTCGAGCAGCAGAGGTTCACGCAACCTGTATATTCAATTGTACCCAAAAACTCAGTAATTTCACGAGACAGTAAAAAAAGCAAAAATTGATTTTTCCGAAGGCATGAATTTTTGTGTAGCAAAAAAAATCTACACCGGATGCGAACACCCCCAGACCCTAGGGTGCAAAAGCAACCAAGTTACCTCCAAGCCAAGTGGGAAGGAACCTGGAAAACGTTAATAAAGCAATTTCTGTAAGAAAAGTTAATTCCAGAGGAAAAAAGTCAAATTCCCGATTACAAGACACTTGCTCTCGTAAGTGTAATTACCCCAAATTGATCAAATCGATAAAAATTAAACTCTCATAATTCTACCAAAACTATGGGTTAGCTATACTTCGAATTGCAGTTTAAACTAGGGGAAAATTCGTCACAGAAAAAAACGGTTGACTCTCGCAGATGCCGTTCAATAAGTTCTTGTTTCTGCTGCACCTTTTTAGGTTTTTTCCATTCGCTGTAGGATCCTGAAGTATTTTGTCAGTTATACTAATCATAATATTGACAATTTGTTTTCAGCGGAAATTATGCATCACTATAATGACACTTTCTGAATACTAAAATTTCACTGCTACTTGAATTAAATTTTTGAAAAAGGTTTTCTGTTTTGTGAAACTTCTTGTCGAAAAGAATAATCGAACGTTTGAAGTCTTAAATAAATGTTTTTTTAAAAAATGCTAGTTTTTGGAATAATTTTTAGAAAATTTTGCCATTGACGCAGATGGGACAGCAAAACGCATAATGCTGTTATCTTACGTACTTAAAGAAATCATGAAACTAAAACCTATCCATTGTACCCTATGTCCTTTTACCCTATATACCAATCTACCATATGCCAATCTCTTCTCTTAATTACCCCAACTTCATTTAATGTTTTACCATATCTAGTGTTAGGGATATAAGGGTGTCTTACAAAACTCTGAAATGCTTCAACTTTTTGATGTCAAACGATTTGTTACCCCTCAACCTTAACGAATATTCTGACAAGCAAAAGAAAGATTTTTTCGTCAAACTTAAGAAAATATACCTGAATGACAATCGATTGCTTGTTGACATGCTAATAGGATGATTATATGTGGTATCCAAAGTTGCAACTCTAATAACTCTGTTTTTGCCTTCACTTAGTTACCTAGGTTTCCCTCGGGTTACTGCCAGTTGGGCTGTACTGCCCGTACAGTAACCCTGATGCAGTTTATTAGTTCATTAACGTTCTCTAAACTGTATCTAAATTCAAATTCAATTAAATGGAGGTGTTAAATATCAATATGGGTGAGTCCTGCCATGTAGTCTCTTCAGGTGCATCGAGACCCCTCGCGTTGCGATTGAACACTTAAAGTTTGTCCGATGCAATTTTATCAATTGTACAACATATTGTACAACATTCGCATTCTACTGACTGAATTTTAACAATCGCATATTCACACAAGGCTTCCAAATCGGATGCAACATTTTTTTTTCAATTTTGAGCTCAACGCATGTACACCAAAGAACCTTTAAGAAAAAGAAGCAACCTGTCCGGAGAGAAAACTACAGTGAGCTTCTAGGAAAATCTAGGCGCTTCTAGGAGAAAACTTTTTGGAAAATCGGATTAAAACGAAGAAATTTCCGCATTCTGTGAGAAGTTTGAGTGATTTTATTGCGGTTTAATTGGCGACAAGAATGAAGACTGCGTTAAACAAAAATACGCAGCCAATATCGCACACAATTTTGCACGATGACAATAAACAGCCACCAGCTTCGTCCCTCGTGACTTGGTTGCTGAAAGAATGGCAGATCGTTTCGAGCCGGACGCTACTATTCACGAAAAACTGGACGAAATAGCGTCTGATTTCCAACGCGACTGAATCAAAGAATAAACAATCGGAAGCGATTGTCCCGACCTACTATGGAACCACTCAATCTGAAAAAGCAGCCTCCACATGACTTACACGAACGACAAATGCCGTGTAGATATGGCATCTCTGCGTTAATGCGCTCTTTTAGGGCAGCCACCTCTCCCATAATATCTTCTTGGATCAGATTAAGCAGGATGCTTGCTGCAAACCAGAAAATCAAAATTGTAAAAGCAATGGGGAAACATCAACTCAAGTCACATAAGTAGAGACTGGAACCATAAAATGAGTAACATATCGAGCAGTTGGTAGGTTGTGTATTCCCTGGACCCGTTGAGTTACTTGATTCAATTGATTTTCCTAATATGTATATTTTCAAAGGTTCCCGGCACGTTAGACAATTGGTATTTTTGTAGGCTATAGAGGTTTTTATCCAAAATTTTTCCAATCTCTCTCGCCACATCAACCGTAGCATTTTTGTTCCGACTTTCGATACGAAAGTAACGGAATATTTGTGCTCGGGGTGGGTTTTTTTTTCTTCAGACAAATTTCGACTTTTTAACTAGCCGTTTTTGACGGAATTTTTTTATATCATTCGAAAGGTATTGTTTGCTTGAGCTCAAATTTGAAAAGATATTTCACCTGTGATCATTTTTCGTAAAGTTATGGGGGTTTAAAGATTGGCATTTTGGCCAATTTGGGACAATTAACGCGCGATATATTTCGCGCTATTAACGCGTAAGAGGAGAGTTAATCGTTCTAAATTGGTTGAAAGAAGCTTATTTGCCATAATTGATTTGTTACAAGGAACGAAATCTATCCTTTTGTACTTTATATGGCGTGTGGGGGGATGATTTTCATAAAAAACTTCAAATTTTAAAGAAAAAAAAATTTTCATTTTTTTACGTTCCAATTTTTAATGTTATTACTGCTCCATAAACCTTAAAAGGCAGTCGGAACATTCAGGGCTTTGCCCTGACACGAGTAGTCTTGTCTAAATTTCAGTTACATTTGACTTCGCGGTGCGTTGATCTTTCAATCTTGGCATACTAACCCACTTGCATTATCCACTAAGCTATAGCGACTCAGTGATACATGAATTTTGCTCGCTTAAGAATAAGGCGCAGTGACATTCTTGTGATGCAATCAGATTTAAATTTCGGTTCGTTCATACTTTGAACGAACTCACACTGATTAGGAAGAAACAAATTTTACGTTGGTTGTGTTGTTAAGTAATTCACGAGCGGTAATTATTCTTTTATCAAAATTAATGGTTCACTGATCTCTTTGAAAATGGGACAGATTGGAACATGGTGTAGGATAGTATAGGGTACAATGGCGAGGGTAGAATGTCATTGAACCCCGTTTATATGGATTTAGTATTATGATTTTCAAACATATTTACCCGCGGCGTCTACAATGACACCAGATGGTTCAAGAAGATGCTCCAATTTCTCTGAGACATATTTGCGAGTCAATGAGTCTCCGTTATAAACAACCACTTTGCCATGGTTATTTTGGCCAGGGTGCTGACTTTCAATTATCTTGACTGCAATTTTTGCGAGAAAGATTAGGAGCATCGTTTTTCCCGATCCTTTACATCCTCTAACGAGAAGCCTCAAACCTTCTCGGCTAGGATCCTGCAAATGCTCAACAACAGTTGATATTATCTGAACTTGTTCAGGTTTCCAGATAATATAGCGATCCCTCTTCTTGGAGTTGATACTTGTTCTTGAGGCCTCATTTAGAACTGCTTTTGTGTCTTCATCGGTCGTCCCAAACTGATTTTTGTTTTTATTGGTCGCTTGAGCGTAGTTCGTACTGATCTGATCGTGAATTAGGGCAAGTGAACCTTCAATAGAGTTTAAAGCCGCCAGTCGAGCTATGAACACCTCAAAGATCTCCGTTAACTTGTGATCGAAGTCCGGAACTCCATCTAACTTCTGACTCCACGATGAGCAAAATGTTTCCGGCTTCAAGTCTGATTTGGTGCAAATCAAAAGCGCGCCGCCCAGCTGTTTTGAGATACCCTCGAATTTTTCTTTGTTGTCATCAACTAAATGGCAGTAAACTGAATGTATCGGGGGAAAGTCGGTTTCGTTTTCGTAGCCATATTGCATGAGCATGCGAAGAAAGTTGGAATGCTTCTTGAAGTCCTTTTCAACTTTCTGTGGGGTCAACCCCTTGCCTCCTTGGGCTTTTATATTAAACAGAAAAACTCCTTTAGCGGGATGAATCAAAACTGTGTCAATTTCAACCTGCGCCGATGTTGTGGCAAACATTTCTCGTCCGTTTACTTTCGAAAGCACTAAAACTCCCTTCCGATTTTTATCGAGACTTTCCAGAAGTAACTGGTAGATTTTTATTTCACCTTCTTCGCCCTTTTGAAGAGGGTGGAACTCTTTTTGCTGGTCCTTGGACATGTAGACATTTTTCAGAAACAGCCTCGGTATCCTGGCTATCGGAATTGAGGTAACTTTTCCCGCCTCTTCCCAATTAGGGTACTGGGATCGCATGATCTCCAGGAGTCTCGCATTATTATTGAAAGAAACTTTTTCTCTTCCCGGCAGGTCTAACTCGAAGTTTTCCAGCTCCTTGTGGAATTCGCGCATGCCATGCCACTCTCTATCATTGCTGTTTTCAACTTCGAATAAACCAAAATGATAAACGTTTATTGTTAACTAATAAAAAAGGTGTTGCTGATTCAATGAAAATTATGCTGGTTTTGCTATACTTTCGAAGGATCAATTGAGCAATCTGCCCCCCCCCCCCCCCCCATTCTCGCGTGGGGGGGGGGGGGGGGGCAGATTGCTCAATTGATCCTTCGAAAGTATAGCAAAACCAGCATAATTTTCATTGAATCAGCAACACCTTTTTTATTAGTTAACAATAAACGTTTATCATTTATCGAACGACTGTGGAAAGCCAAAATTCACAATATCAAAGCTCAAAAGTTTCATTCAAATGGAAAAAAAAATCAATAAATCAGGCATAAAAAGCGCCTTTTTTTTCTTAAAATGACAAAAAGCTTTTGCGTACAATATTAAGGTGCTGCGGAGAACCGTTTTTGCTATTCAGATACAAGGCTAGAGCACCAACCCTGGTAAGTCGCTTTCCTCGATGAGGCTATGGTCGCTTATACAAAAATTTGCAAAAAAAAATTCATATATTTCGAGTTTTTTCCAAAATTTTTCTCAATACTCGTATAAAAAAAACTTCATTCGGTCAAATGATTGCGTGCTATAAACAAAACATTCATCTACTTCCGTTTGCTGACGTCTTTTTGAGGAGTTTATTCGTTTTTGCTGGGGGGGGGAGATAGCTCAATTGGTCATTACGGGGGGGGGGGGGGGATTGCTCAATTGATCCCTTTCGAAAGTTTTATTGCCAGTGAATAACGTGCTTAAAAAGAACCGAATGTAAAATTAACAAAAAACATCAAGCTCTGAGATACTTTTGTGGAAACAAAACAGATTTACCAGTAGAATTGGCAGTCGCGTACCATGTGATTGTGGTCATATGATAAGATATCTAGCACTAAATAAAAATATCGTTCTATCTTTTCAATAAAAGGAGCATTTTGCGGCCGCCTACATTTTTTCCAATTTCTCACTGCATGTAACAGCAGTGAAAGGAATGCGATTGAAAAATTAGCTTCTCATTAATTTGCGGTCTCAATAGTTAAAACTTTCACAAAACGACTAATTTCACAATTTGCTTCTGATTAGGTGAATGCATGAAATCGCTCCAATCGCCTAAAGTGACTTTCGAAGTGAACTAAAAAAACTACCAGTTTTCATTCCGTTCAATCTCTCTCAGTTTCATCCCAAAGCTCTTAACTGCTCTGCTAAGTTAGATGATACTTTCTTGTAGTCTAAGAGGCAACTTTCATTTATCGCTGGCCTTATAGTTTAAGCTATAAACCTTATATGCCTAAGTTGATGTTTTAAATAGATAACCTTCATGTATTGAAATGTTAATGCAAATTTCAGTTTACTTTCTAAAAGAGAAAGTAGAAAGGACCCTTTGTTCCTAGCTAGCGTTTGTCCGGCGGTGTTAAGAATTAGCTAATGTAATAATATGCCAGCGTAATACGTCTTCTCAAGTTGAACTTATAGCCTCCGCTCAAAAGTGAATATCGGATTTGGGGGTGTAGGGGATTAACACAGAATAATTAGAAAAGAAGGGGCTCTCAATAACGCAAGTCACTTTTCAACAGTGCCGTTTTAAACGTTCGTTTAACTTTTTAAACTGAGTTACGAGATCGAAAACTGGGAGTTCATTTTCATTTCTTTTCTAATCCATTCTCTAGTAGTAAAAAAATCACTAGCCGACCGTTTTACACAGAGGCTTAGTTGTTTCTCTACAACAAGTAAGAGGAGTGAAAATTTTTGAGATTATGGAACTTTTCAAAAAAAAACCATTCTCCTAGAAATGAATGACTGCTTCTGCAGGAAAACATCGCACAACCGCTTCTTTCGATTGAATTTTTTCCCAGAATTTGATAGGGTAGTTTTTAAGAAAATTCAAAAAATTTCTAAAAAACGGTTTAAATTCAAAGGGTGGACTTTACGAAACCGTTTTTCTGCTGAAAGCAGGTCGTAGCCGGTAAAGAAGAGAAGATTCTCGAAATCGTGTTTCGCAATTGAACACTCAAACTGAAAATTGGCACGGTAATTTTCGAATAGTCGAAATTTTCTTAAAAGCGGTCAAAGATCCAAATTTTTCACTAGTTAGAGACCATGATTTTTTTTATTAAAAAAAAACTGGGCGTAGTGAATTAAATAGGTAAGCTTCCAAGAACCTGTTGTGTCGATTAGACCAACTATATTCAAAGGCGCTTGCTAGAACCAGTTCTTTGGATTGAACCTAGATCTCGGATATGGGAGTGTATTATCTGGTAAAATCGAATTTAAAAGAAAAACGCTGAAAAAATTGACTTTTCCGAGGAAGTTAAATTTTCGTGTAAAAATGCTGTGACTGGCCGCTAATGAAGGGGAGCTTCCCGCTACCCGTTATCTCCATTGAACCCACAACCTCAGGTTTCGAGGTTAGAGTTCGAGGAAGTTATAAAAAAGATTTAAAAAATGGTCAAAAATCAAAAAATTGACTTTCCGAGGGTTCTGACTTAATGTCTAAAAATTTTTGGACGTAACAGCTTAAGGAGGAGAGCTCTCAAGTCCGTTCAGTTCATTGAAACCAAAGTTTCAGATTTGGTAGGCTATTTTATGAGAAAACGAACAAAAATCAAAAATATAGGTCAAATATTCCCCCAGAGACTTTTCGGTGTAAAGCAAAAAGAGACCATGGCAGTATACAAGTATACAAAAATGTGGGCGGTCTTTTTATGAAAAATTTTTTGAAAATCGTTATAAAAATTTTGAGAAATGTTTTTTTTGCAAAAAGTGATAAAACTTTTCAACGCGTCTCAAAAAACCCAATCCCATACTTTTGCATTATACCTCTTTTATGAAACAGGAACTCTAGGCAAACCTGTTTAGCAAGACGATTGAAACTCAAATTAGCAACTGAACAAACGTTACGAAGCGGAAACAAGACCGCCAATTTTTGAGCAGACACCAGTTGAGCCGAAAAAAAACTGATTTTGTTCAAAACTTCAAGTAGTTTCAAGTTCCCCTGAAACTACCCTACAGTAACTAGTTATTACGTAGTTAATACTTCTGTGCCGGAGATTGAGCATGAGAGCACGTGAGTGGAAGGACTGCACGTGAATGAATTCTAGAGATTCCAATGATTTTGTTAAATTAGTTGTTAACCCAAAAAATGTCGTAAATCCGATTTGATAACGCTTGCTAATTGCAAACGTAAAAAAAACCTATTCGGATTCTATGTAACGAATGGAAATACGAAATGGAAATACGAAAGATAAACTTAGCTAATTTAACCAAAAAATTTTAAAAAACTTCAACAAAGCCAACAGACGGATGGAAAAGTCAATGAACGCAATTAGCCAACAGACGGATGAAAAAGTCAATGAACCCAATTTACCAGGAAAAAAACCGACTTGATTTTTTGAGAAAATCTCAACTTTCGAATTTCAAAGAAAAAATAGATACTCTCAATGGATAAAATTTTTATTTCGCTGGATAACCTGAAAATTAAATTCCAGGTTCATAATCAGAAATCAATAATAGATTTTGCCTTCCTTTCAAAAAAGCAAATGAACTGAAATTTGAAAAAAAGTAAAACCGCGAAAAAGTGAATTCGAGCTTGAACAAATTTTATGACTTTTAGTGAAAACAAAATCATCGCGACCTATATACAGTGCTGATTTAACTTACCTGGACAAAACGAACAAAACTTGAATTTTCAAACACGTTTTTCTCCAATTGGGTTAAGATTAGACAAAAATTGAAGAGAACAAAAGTTGCTCAGAATTTCATCAGAATTAATATGGTGCAATTTTTTTTTCTCTGAAATTCTCAACCAAAATTTTAAAACCTTATTAATTCTGCTCAAATTTTAAGCAACTTTTAGTATCCTGTAAGAGGCTTCTTGTGATATACTTTTCTCATCTATAACCAAAGTAGTTTCAACGTAATTCTTGAATAATTAAAAAAAGCCAAAATGACTCATTTTTGAAGTAAAATTTTGGTGGAGAAATTCAGAGAAAAAATTGCACCATATTAATTCTGATGAAATTCTAAGCAACTTTTGTTCTCTTCACTTTTTGTCTAATCTTTACGCAATTTGAGAAAAACGTGTTTGAAAATTCAAGTTTTGTTCGATTTGTCCGGATAATTCAAATCAGCACTGTATAAAAATTTAAATTAGTTCATCGACTCATAAAAAAACTTTAACTGCAAAAGACAGAAACTAGATCCTTAAAAGAAAAATTAAGAGCTTAAAGGATTTGCCTCGAACCGCGGACCTCTTGATTTCTTAACATGTGCATTAACACTGCACTGCCTCAAGGATACTACCTCTAAAAACTAAAGACCAACAGCAACAATGTGCTTCAATCCAGCGGATAGAGCTCATTAAATTCAAAATCACTAACGAGAAGCTGAACTGAACACATAACTGAACAATTGAAGGAACGAACTTATTTATAGAAAAAAATTGCCTCTCATAAAAATTCGCTTTCGTAAGTTTGACACAAAACAAAATAATTTTGGTCCTCAAAAAACTATGCAATAATTCCTTATCGACCCCACAGGGCTGGTCATATAATACATTGAAAGAGTTTTTTCAAATAATTTAACTAAAAAGACAAATCGTTCAGTTTACAGAAACAAAGCGTTCATTGTTTGACCTCCAAAGTTTCACAGTTTTGTCATTTTCTAGCGACCCTGAAGCCAATAAATTGTTCTGTGGGTGAGCATCAACGCTTACTACAATATCAGTGTGTCCAGTCAATTTCTGAACAATCTGTCTCGAGTTCATCTCCCAAATATATATCTGATTGTCTTCTGAGCCCGACACAATGTACACTCCGTTACCCGTATGCGACACACAGGAAAACAGACAATATTTCTCATTTTTATGACCCGTGTATCGTTTCTTCGGCTTGCCTTGGCTGTAGTCCCATAGTTTTATATGACTGTCCATAGTTGATGCCAAGAGGAACTTTCCATTAGGGGTGAATTTGACATGTCCGACTGACGGATTATCGGGATGGTTGACAATGGTCTTGAAACACTGGCCTGATCCGGCATCCCAGATGCGACAGAGTCCATCGTAGCTGCAGGAGACAAGCAGACTTCCGTCCCGGTTGAAGTCGCAGGATGTGATTGGTTCTCCATGGGCGGGCAGGAGTCTCAAAGAGGTACCTGCAAAACTTTTATGAAGTAAAAGATCTGGCATTAATCCCGGGGGCAATTATAGAGGGTGGGTATGACGCGCTTTCTAATTTAGACAAATCAGGATCGGTGCTCGTTTATTAAAGAAAGGACTTAAATGCGATCCCGGATTAATAAAAAATACAGTTAGCTTATTTAAGGCCACACCACTAGTCACCCACCACAGCTCAAAAGCTGATTCTTTTTTCTTGTGGAAAAATAGATTTCAATTTGCAGTCTTATATTTACAAATTCCAGCTTCTAAAACAACTAACAATTTGTAAATGACTTCGATTCGCGTTTTTGGGTTAATATACAACGAAAACTGGGCATTTTGTATGAAAACTTTGCCAACCTGTCTTGACATCCCAAATCCGGATGGACTCGTCGAATGAGCCAGAGGCGACGATGTTTGACTGTGGGTTGAATTTGCAGCAGAACACGTAGCTGTTGTGGCCCTTCAGTGTCTTCACACACTTGCCGGAGCTGAAGTCCCACATTTTGAGGGTCTTGTCATCGGACGCAGTGCACAACAGACGCGAGTCAGAACTCCAGCAGACGTCGGATATTCCTAAATCCCCTCTTAGAGCTTATTATACTAATCATTTTACTTTCGAGCATAAACAGAAAATCATAGACAAACGCAGTATGAAATATTACGTTTACGATTTAGTTAGGCTTGGGAGAAAACCAAAAAGTCATCAGACTGAGGTTAAATGCTTGTCGGATTTCATCTTATAGCAACTTTTATTAAGATATTTTTCTATTTATTAATAACAAAGCGTCAAAAATGTTCGGATAACTTTCCATGTTTGCGACAAGTACCCATTGAAATTAAGAATATTTGCTTACAAAAAAGAAGCAAAAATTTACTCCATATCACTATCTAACTGAAAAATAATTTTTATCCAAGTTACTTTTGAAACGTACCCAACTTGTGTCCTGAGATTGTCTTCTCGAATTTGCCGTCATGTGCGGACCATATCTTGAGAAGTTTATCAGCAGATACTGTGGCCAACCAGTCACCACAGGGACTGAACTTGACAGCCGACACACTTCTCGTGTGGCCACTCAAAGTGTACTTCAACTCGTAATTAGGTTTCGCAATACTGTTCACACCCGAAAGCACTGGATCCGCAACCGACTGCTTGTGTGTTGTATCTTCATCGAGAGTCATGACAATTCTCGGAAACAATATTGATTAAATAAAACTGATCCTTACTGCGAAAATTAAGTGCAAAATATACTTTTTTATTAGCCCCCGGCCATCCTTCTTCCTTGCTATTTTGGGCATTGCTTCCATGGGGGAAATCGATTCCATCTATTTTGCCGAAACAAGGAGGTGGGTATCACTGGAAACCCTGCAACCGTGATGAGCGATCGTCAACATAGATTCGCATAGACAAAAATATATGCCAAGTGTTCAGGCGAGGAACAATCACTTTTCATATTTTCATTTCTGCGACACTTATATTTTCCAAAAACTAATGAAATTTTAAAAATAGGCACGGTGCCGCCAATTTCTAATATTATATCGATTCATAAAATAGTATTTGAGAAACTCAAACAAGACTAAGTAACCATTCGTGAAAATGGGAAATTATACTTTGAAAAAAAATCTTTGCAGTCAGATAAAATTGCGATATAATCCAGTAAGGATGAAAATTTACAGCGAGGTTTCACTGATTGCTTTCTTGTGATTAAAAATGAAATAAAACAAATAAAAAAAACGAAACAGCCAAAAGACCGTTGGAAAAGTGTCAATGGACGCAAGAAAAAAAGAATGAAGACTGGCATGTTTTCAGAAAAAAATTCAACATTCTAATTCAAAAAAATATATATACCACCTTAGAGCTCTTTGAATTTCATCGAAACATTTTTGATCGAAACTTATTTGACACAGAGGCGAAGCCGAGCTTCGCACCACTTGCGATACCAAACAGGAAAAAAAATGAAAAAATTTAAAAGATTGAAACAATAGATCTGTCAAAATGAATAAGGCTAATTTGAAACGAAAACATGCCAAGATAATCGAATGAGGAATAAGCATCGGAAGATAATGTACTCAGCGGTAACAAAGCCGAAAATACCTTGTCAGAATTCCTTTAGGCCAACAAAAATCAACAAGACTTCAGACTTCTGAAAAGATAATAAGTCCACCTCACTCTCAAAACACTCATAAAACTTTATTTGCTCGTCAAACTAAACAATATCAGGCCAATAAGCCGATATAATACAGACTGAAACCTATCAAGCCGAAAAAAGGAGAAAAAAAGCCGGAAAAAATTGTTATCATGAAAATGTTATCATTTTCGGTATGTTCTAAGATCCAGTGAGCATAAAAAATTTGTTTCCGTTGAAACGACTCAAATTTAGTTCAAAAAGCCAATAAAAATAGAAAAACAAGTCGAAATCATTAAGGCAGAAAAAAGTATTTCATCGAAAAAAAATTAAAAAATGCGAAGTCAGTCTAGTAAAAATACAAACAACAGGTGAATCAGAACACTAAAAGCAACTATAATGTAAAAAACACAATTCTGCAATATGGCAACTCAGCCGACAAAACATAAACAGACAATAATAAGCCGACAATTTTCTTTGAAACGGACTATTTCTCGTTTTAAAAAAAATAGGTCCTGTCATATTCAAACCCAGGAACTTTGGCGTACCAGGCGTATCCGTTACCTCCAGACTAAGAGTGCCAAAAAGACGCTTAGAAATTTGAATTCAATCTGAAACAAGATACCAATTGACTCAAATGCTTCTGGTAAAAAAAAGTTATTAACGTTATAAAAAGTCTATATTTCGATTTGATAACGCTTGCTAATCGCAAGTGCAATAACACTAGCCTAATGGGGGAAAACTGGATCCATAGGATCTTTTTCTTTGGTAGCTGGAGAGCGTTATTTGCCTTCTTCTTTTACCAAAAAAATGGAAATTGATTTTTAAAATTCAAAAAATGAAACCGCAGAAAATCAAATTTGGAGTAAGCCAATTTCGATTTTTTTTTCTGCTAAAACAAAAAATCAAACAAGCCTTAGAAGTGTCTTGTTCACGGTCATTGACATTTATACCGTACATCGCAAATTTTTCGTATCAGAAAAATTTGAAATCTGGACCTTCCAGTACCAAGCATGGACGTTACCTCCGAGCCAAACTTGCAGATTAAGACATTGAATTTGAATTGACTATAAGTCAAGCAACCGAATGATTCAATTATTCTATTAAGCAAGTTGTAAGCCTGTAAAAAAGTCTTCGCCCCTTTATGATAACGCTTGCTAAACCAAAGCGTATTGGCAATCAAAAGAAAATAGCCAAAAACAAATTCTGATACTTTACAAGAAAAACTTTTTTTTCTTTCACTGAATACACCTCAGGTGCTGACACACTACGGCTTTGCACGCTTTTCACGAAAATTACGCCTTCTAATTTGAATTTTTTTAAAAATGATTTCAGAAGCTTAAATATATATTCTGTCATGCTTCACCATTTCATGCACTTTGATGATCTATAACAATCTGAATAGCAACACTTCGATCCATTTAATATCTGCTTTTCAAAATCAGGATTACGACCAATAGGTCTTTATTATGACACGAAAACAGAAACCCCGGCCGACTTCCCACGAGTTACCTAAAATCGGGCCACAAAACCCAACCTACGCCATAATTCCTCGCCTTCGCCTGGTGACTCGCTCGGAATAAAAATTTGCATTGCTTTGTACAGCAGAGTATCGAATATCACATTAGAAACCCCAAGCACAAGCTTAGAAAAATTGATCAAAAGGTCAAACCATTTTTCGCCAAAATATCAATATTCAACCGGTTTTCCTTCAAATCCAAATCACTTCTTTCTAAAACCAAATCTAGTTTAAAACAGAGACGAAGCTTCGCTTCGCACACACTTTCAAGACGACAAAAAGCAGCTCTATAAAGTTCAATAACAGAAATTAGAAATAATCCTCGAATTAGCAAAAATTCGTCAACCTCTGAGATTCGAACTCAAGACCTAGAGATTAAGAGTCGTAGACACTAACCACTACGCCACGGAAACTTCATAGGTACCATTAACCACTCAGACACAAAAAAAGCAGAGAACAGATGCTATGCAATTTCGAATGCTAGTTAAATATCCAAATAAGTGAACACTTTTATTTGCTAATTGGGTTCGAAAAAAAAGAAGGTTCGTAATAACACAATAAGCTGATCGCTTAATTTATCATTAATTTGAAAAAAAAAACATGGCCAACAGACAGTTGGAAGTGTCAACGGATTGGTAGTGTCAACGGAAGACCTGTTTTTTGCAAAAAACGTCAACTTTCAAATTCTGAAAAATTAAATATATGCCACTAAAGCTCTTTGAATTTCACGAGCAACTTATAATTACCATATTTTTGATAAATATAACCCAAATTGAATCAATAGATAATTTTTGTATTCCACTGAGAAACCCAAAATGAAAATCCGCTTTCGAACCTAGTCATTCATAGTTTTCGTGACCTTACAATTTTACTGCTCGATAGTGGATTTTGCGTTCCTTTTCACAAAGTAAATGAATCAAACATGAAAAAAAAATCAAAATTCAAACCGCGAAGAGTCAAATTTGAGCGTAAACAAACTTGAAGACTTTCTCCTGAAAAACAAATCATCACGATCTATATAAAAGTCTTTTCTTTGTTCACTGGAGATTCATTTATGCTTCAATATGAATAAAGAAGAATTTCCGCATGTGATTTCCAGAAACTTTTGCGGCGGTTTACCAATTATTTCAAAAACATTTGCCAAACTACACGGCTAGCCAAACTACACGGCTAGCCAAACTACACGGCTAGCCAAACTACACGGCTAGCACTTTTTTCACTACGTCAACCATCCCCATGAAATATGAAAAAAAACAGGTTACCTTAAATATTGAATTCAATTACATGTAAGAATGTAAAGTAATTGTAAGAAATTCCAAAATCCATTTCACTTCTCTGACATCCGCGTAGTAAAGAGAAGACAAGATAAACAAATTGGTGTTTATTATTCCACTGCCCAATTTACAAGTCACATTATTGAATCATCGCATCTAGAAAAGACAAACCCGCCATCTTTCTTCTTCAATGGGGACAATATAAACGGGATGAATTTATGTTTTAGCAACGTGAACAACTGTACAAACCATTAACAACACACTGAACTTCTTGGCAATCCAATTGAGAGGGAAACTACTTAATACTACGTATTTGACCCTGAAAAAATATAACTATAGTTAAAGCCGTGTGTTAGCCGATGTTAAGCACTGATGATAAAAATAGTCACAAAATGATTTTTGAGAAAACTAATCAAGACAAAAAATAAAGAGAAAACTAATTTGATTTAAACCATTTAGTGTATTGGAAAGGTAAAACACCGTTCTCTATTTTTCTCACAAAAAATAATTAATATATCTAAAAGCAGAAACCCATTTTCGCATATTGATTTCTACTTTGTGACTACTTTTTCGTGTAAGTTTCTGCTCGATCTAATGCACACACTTTGAACACTACTAAATATTGAGATGAGATTGAAATGGTTAATTTGCTTTACAATTCAGAGACGAGAAACTCTCTGTTTTTGGTGTATATGACATAGCACAAGTGGAGAGGGTGACTCTAAGGCATTCAGATCGGAGGGAGGGGGACCTTTAAACTCTTATGACAGAAGCACCCTTTCGTTTCTGTTCTACGGTCCAAAATTGATCTTTTTGTTAGACTTTTTTCATTTTGAAAAATGAATCAAATTGCTCGAATATGATTGGTTGAATAATTAATTCCAGCAAATAAAAATCTAGATTTTCATCAAAAAGAGAAACTCAATAAACAAATTTGGTCCGTAAAACGGTAAAGACCCAAAGAATCAAATGACCGAAAGTTAAAGTAGCCAATCATAGTCAGTACTCAAAAATACGAAGAAAACCGTGCTTTTTGTACAATTTGATTCGATAGATCTTTTTTGCAATTCGGCCCTTCTGTCATGAGAAATTGGCCCTTCAATTCACACATCGCTGCATTAGCAAACTGTAGAAAACTAAGACGAAAAACAAACCTTTACATTCTCCATACACATCAAACTACCTCGATTTTAATGTCTGCTTATTTTGCTTACTTATTAAACTATTTATTTATTAATAGGGTAAGGAAGGGTGAGCGAATTCATTCGATGGCAAAGGTTAAGTAAGATGTAAATAAAAGCGATAGATGGGCAAACGTAATCAAGGTGAAATTGGATTCGGGTCAAATTATACCTTTCAATTTAAATTAACTAGGGCCGCTCAAATCAATCAAAACAAAATCTAGGGACACTTATGAAACAAACAAGGAGAGGATTCAATTGAAAATGGGAATTTTAAATTCTACGCGGATAACAGGGAAGCTAAAGATTCAATGTATATAATGTTTTGTTTATTAGGGGAACTTTCTGTAATAAGATTTCATTCCTGGAGAATCGGAATTTTCTTAAACGTTAGTTTCAATATCATAAATCTTTTCGAGATAACCTTCTTGATCTTTTGTGAACACTACTCTATCGTTCATCTGTTGTGTAAATGGTCTGTCTTCTGAGATCTAGTTTTTCAGTGGCTGTTTTTATTTTTGTCTTCTCTGTTCTGTTATTTTGTAACGATCACGATTGTCTGTCCAATGACAGCGAGGGGGTAAAAGGGAATGAGGAGAAAAGGAGGAACGGGGAGCGAAAGATTCTTCTGGATGCAATATTCTGGCATCACCTGCATTCCCACACTTTAATGAATGTGTCGACAGAACCAGTGATCACAAAAGGCCGCTCGTGGTGGAAGTCTAAACACAACAAAGCCAGAAAAATCATCAAACAATTTGATTGTTCTGAGAAAACTAATAATCCAGCCAACAGAAAGTTGGAAAAGATTCAATGAATGCTAAAAAACGGGAAAAAACGAATTTTTTTAAATTAAATATCTCTCAATTTCAACGAAAAAAAATAAAATGGCTCCGAGAATTTCTAAAAAAATTTTTGATTGAAACTTTTTTTTGCTAAAACTAACCCAATTTAAGATAACTTGGTTAGTTTCTACCTTTACACTTTAGCTTTTCGATGGTGGAGTTCGCCTTGCTTTTAACAAAAGAAATATACAGAAGTAAAAAAGAAACCAAAAACCAAACCGCGAAATCCAAATTTGAGCATGAACAATTTTTAAGAATTTTCCTTAAATACATAGTCAAAACTTCGCAAACACTAGCAAGACCATGACAAAAAACAGCTTTATAAAAAAAATAAGAAAAGATGGAAATAAGCTTCGAATTAGTAAAACTTTGCTACGTATGGGCTTCGAAGCTGCGACCTCGAGAATTGGAGTCTCATGCCCTGCCCTCGGCCACGAACGCTTAAAAACCGGCAAACACTAGTCACAAATAAAGCAGCTACATATGCTAACAAATTGCCAATGCTATGCAGCAAAAGTGGAACCAAATACAAAAAGACACAAATTTGCTATTAATAGTTTGGAATATAACAAACTGAAGGCATCCACATTAAATTTGCATGTAATAAATTGGAAAGCATAAAGCCACACTATGTATAAATTATTCATTTTTAAAAAACGCGAGATATCTATAGTTTTAAAATTTCTGAAATCGAGTGTTTAATATTGTTATGTTGCTTGAAACAAATAAGTTTTTTTCGGTTCATTTGATGAATTTAAAATGGATCAACTGTGCTAGCGTATTACTATTCGAATGTCAAAACACGTGCTATCAAAAAGTCGTGAAGGTGCCCCAATAGTGGCAGCAAAATTTGCGACTTAGGTTAAAAAGAAGAGAATAGTCTTAGTATAACAACAACGCTCACTAAAGTTCGCTAGTGTAAGCAAAACAATAAATTATCACGATCTATATAAGTGTCTTCACTACACTTTCATCGTTTCTTAAAAACGAAAATATGTTCGCAAACATAACTGCATAAGCTTCAAAACTTCACGCAAATGCAAAAGAGTTTTCGCACTACTTGCGATACATCACAAACATAGCATGGATAGTTCGCCGACATAAAATGACACAACAAAGTCACTAAATCCAAAAAATGGGAAAAACATTGGAAAATTCAAACTTTACAAATATGGATTTGCTACCAATGAAATTTTGAGGAAAACATGACAAAAAAGACAATTACTAGCGTTTAATTAGAATTGAATAAATATTCAGTCACGAAGACGACAATATTGGAAAAAACTCTCGTCGAGCCGAAATACAGAATATTTATGAACTACAGAAAAAATTGAACCGAAAAACTTGAACTACAGAGTATTTTGAAATATATTTTGAAACGGCACAATAACAGGTATTTAAAACGTACAATATGCAAACATGTTGGTACAGACATATAAGTTGGGAGTCCATCTCTTATTGAAGATGAGTCTTGTGAACAAAGTTTTCAACAGAAAAAAGTCAACTACACGGTTAATCGCAAAGATAAACATAGCCAATCGACACAGAGGCGAAGCTTCGCTTCCCAAATACTAGCGAGAACACGATCAAAAAGCAGCTCTAACAAGTGACATAAGAAAAAGCAGAAATAAGCCTCGAAAATGGCAAAACTCGAGGCTAGCAAAACCTCGAATTAGCAAAAATCTGCGACCTAGCAAATTTGAATCTCACTCACTAACCATTCAGCCACGGATGCTTAAAATTCCCAAAAACTAGCCACCAATAACGCAGCTACATATGCTAATAAATTGCCAATGCCATGCAGCAAAAGTAACACCAAATACAATAAGATCCAATTTTGCATGTAATAAATTGCAAATCATAAAGCCACATTATGTATAAATTATGCATTTCAAAAAATTGCAAGATATTTTGAGTAAGAAAATGTCTGAAATCGAGATTTTATTATTGTTAGGTTGTTTGAAAAACTTATAACTATTCGAATGTCAAAGCACATGTTATCAATTAGCTGTAAAAGTGCAACAAATAAGTTGTCATGCCAACTTGATGCAGCAACAATTTTTGCTTTACATCGCAACAGTATTTGCGACTTAGTTGCAACAAAAGTTGGTAAAATTGAAAGTTCATACTATAACACTTTGCTTCGCAAGAGTAAAGATCGGAAAAGATTAATGAATGCAAGTAAACATGAAAAAAAACATTGACTTTGTTTAAAAAATCTCAACTATCGAATTTCAAAGAAAAAATAGATTCCCTTTAAGCTCTTTGAAGTTCTAGAAAAATTTATGACCGGCGCTTTTTTGATAACATGAATCCAACTAGAGAAAACTGGATCAATAGGTAAAGTTTTTATTCCGCTGGATATCTAAAAAATAAATTCCACTTTTGAAACTTGGAGAGTGTTATTTAAGTCACTTTCAGCAGATGAATTTCAATTGACCTCAAACGTGCATTATACCTAAGTGCATCAATATTTTAAGACTTTTTCCTGAAACTATTTATCAATCACTTTCAGGCTCAATGATTCTTTAAACTTTTAAAATTAACCGAACCTTTTTGACTTTCCTCATAAAGATAAACACAGAGGCGAAGCTGCACTTTGCAAACAAATGCGAGAAAACGGCAAAATTAGCTTAATAGGCAAAAAAGCCGAACACCGAAAGAAAAAGTTGAAATACAACTTTCGCTATAAGTCAGAGTCGAACCACCCACCTGCAGATTATGAGTCTCAAGTCATCGCATCTGTGCCATTGCTTCTTGATAGGCAAATACTAGCCACCAAAAAGGCAGGCAAAACAGAGGCTATTAAAATGCCAATGGTATGCAGCAAATTGAATTAAAATTTTATTTACAAGCAGCTGGGTTGGAAGAGAAGTAGATTCATTGCATAACACTATTTCGCTAGCGTAAATAACTATATCAACTCTATTGGAAACAAAATAAGCTATACCAACCAATAGAGGTAACAAAATGTGAATGTGCATCGAATGACTTGGTGAGTCGCTTGTTCTGTAGATCCCACACTCTCAGTGTCTTATCGTCGCCCACACTGATCAATTTAGTGCCCCCAGGATGGAACTTGAGCCCACGCACCCAGTTGTCATGACCGTGCTAAACAAACAAGAGTAGAATATTGGGCTCGTTTACAGTTTCCCTCAAACTTTTTCCCTCAAACTTTTTCCAGTTTCCCTCAAACTAATTTTTTTAGAGATACCTCAGCAACAAAAACATCTCTTAACAATTAATTCAAAATTTAAGAATTTTGGCTTAAAGTCGCCGATGGAGGCGCTACACGCGCGTCGCCGGCTCTAAATTTCGTATAAAGTCCTGCTTTCTATTGTTAAGCTCGCAAAGCAATGACGCGACTACGGCGAAGAGTATATTTGTCCTTTAAGGCGTTGAGTTGTCGTATTACGATTTTACAGCTTCATTTCATGACTGACCAGAATGTGTAAAGCTACTCCGACTGCGACGTCCCACAGGATGATGGTCTTGTCTCTGGCACCACTGGCCAGAAAGGGACCGGGGCTGCCCGGCTTCAAGTTCGCGTGGCTCTTCTCACATGCCCAGGCTATACACTCTACCACGTGGGTGTGGTCTCTCAACTCCATTTTGCACTCTTTACTCACTGCATTCCAGATACGCACTGTCTGCACAAACAAACAAACATAAACATAGCCAACAGACAGTTGAAGAACCATGAATGCAAGGAAGCAGAAAAAAAACTGATTTATTTGATAGAACAATGATTTCGAATGAGATAAAAAATTAAGCACTTAAAGCTCTTCAAATTTTGAAAACAATTCACGGTTGACGTTTTTTGACAAAACTAACCCAATTTGATAAAACTGGATCAATGGTAAATTTTAAATTTTGCTGTGAAATCTGATGATTAATATCCACTTTTGAAACTAGAATTCGATCACGTTTTTCGTGATCTTTACACTTTCTGTTCGATAGCACTTCATAATAAAGAAAATGAACAGAACATAAAAAGAAATCAAAAGTCTAACCGCCAAAATTCAAAAATGAGCGTGAATAATTTTAAATGATTTTTCCTGAAAGGGCTCTTTTTCCTTCCTCGCCCCCACCTGAGAAATTTCCAAGTAATCTATGGTTCCATATTTTTTTATTTTTAGAAAATTTCGTATGCGGACTTATGAGGCCATGTCAAACATTTGGTCTGCACATTTAACCTTGTAAAACCAACCGTTAGACCAGAAAACTGATGCTTATGCGAGGTGGGAGGAAAAGTAAAGAGCCCATGAAAAATTTTTAAAAATCACCACGACTTATATACGAGTACTCACTGCTTAACAAAACGGATCTCAACTATTCCTCCATGGCATCTAGCAAAGAATCTTCACGCTCGTGTGAATTATTTTGATTGTTATGCATTCAGGAATATATTATCTTGGGAAGGTATGGTAATTATATTGCGTAATATACTACAATAGGCGGCAATTTAAGTGAAATAGCTGGTTTGCTCTTTGTTATACACCAAACAGTATTTATATTTTATTTCAAAAGCCAAATTTTTGGCAAAAGAAAAAAAATTGAATTTTCGAATAACTTTTAAACTGGCAGACTAATATGTTTTCGAAAACTATTTTAGTAGGATGTACAATTGATTGGGTGAATGACAAGGAGACAGGTCTGATCTAGACAATGAACTTAATAACAAGCAAAACAAAAAAAATGAAGGCATTTTGGCAGGTGATTGAACGGATTCCGCGGTAAACGAATAATTATTTCACACCATGCTTGTCTCAGATCGAACAAAAGTAAAACTAACTGCTGTAATAAATAGTGATTCAACATTCAGCTAATATTTTTCTTCTAATTGCATGCTTTGCTTCGTCTTTGTTTGTTTTATAGTCTCTCATAATTGCTTATTAAGTTCACTGTCTGGATCAGACTCGTCTCCTTGTCATTCACCATTGACTAGCGTGTACCGCACCTCCGGTGCTTCGAATTTTCAACAACTCAAAAAACTATTCTTTGAGTGTACTCTGACAGCCTCCAATTACAGGGTTCGTAATCAAAAATTTTTTATTAAAGTTTTTTATACAAATTTTGAAGAACCATAAAATTTGGTAAGTTTTATAAAAGTTCTTCGAAAAATTTAAAAAAAACTAAGAAACGTCACATCTAGGAATTTGAAAGCAATTGAGCTGTCGCATTTGGACGCAAGATTTGCAACTCTTGAGAGTAACTTCAAATGTTGTAACATTTTTCATTCGATTTTTTAATTCAAATTTTGAAGAAAAAAAAAACCATAAAAATTTGTGACAATTTTTTTTATATCTAAGTTTATAATGAATTAAGAAACGTCACATCTGGGAAACTGAAAGCCATTGAGCAGTCGCATTTGGACGAAAGATTTTCAACTCCTGAGAGTACCCATACAGTACCCAACTACAACATTGGGAAATTCAGATTTTGAGAAATTTTACCTTAAGTTTTCTGAAAGTTTTTTTGAAAACCAGAAAAAAATTCACGTTTCGAAAACTACCAAAATTTGAGCAGTCTTTTTTGATGGCAATATTCGCAATCTTTGAATGTACACAACTACAGGGTTGGGAATTTCACTTAAACGAATTATTTTGTGATTTGAGTTTTCTGAAAACTTCCAAAAAAGACACAAATATCGTCTTACCTCTTAAACAAAAATGATTTGGGCATTCTTAATTGGAGGCCGAAATTGCAACCCATGAGATAACTCTGACAGCCCCGCAACTACAGGTTAGGAATTTCAAAATTTGAAAAAAATATATAATTTAATTTTCATGAAATTTTTTTTGAAAAAATCAAACAAATCGTCATATCTGAAAAACTGCAAGATTTAGAGCAGTCCAATTCAGAGTCAAGATTCGCAAATCCCTGAGAGTACCCTCAAAGATTCCAATAACAGGATTGATATCTTCAAAATTTTGTAACTTTTAACTTTTAAGTTTTTTTTTTTGAAAACTTCGGAGAAAATCATAAAAAACGTCAAATCTCGAAAACTATAAGGATTTGAGCATTCAAATTGGGAGACAAAATTCGCAACTCCTGAGAGTACCCTGACAGAGCCTCACTACAGAGATGAAAATTTCAAGCTTTGAGAAAATTTTTTATACCTAAGTTTTCTGAAAAATTTGGAGAAATTCCTAAAAAAACGTCATATCTCAAAAACAACAAGAATTTGAGCAGCCATATTCAGAGGCAAGATTTGCAACCCCCCGAGAGTACGCTCAAAGATTCCAATAACAGGATTGATATCTTCAAAGTTTCGGAACTTTTTAACAATTAAGTTGTTCTGAAAAATTTTGAAAAAATCCAAAAAAACGTCATATATAGAAAACTGCAGGGACTTGAGCAGCCATAATCAAAGGCAAGATTCGAAACCCCTGAGAGTATCCTCACAATATCCAACAACAGGATTGAGATCTTCAAAGTTTTGGAATTTTTTAAAAGTTTTTGAAAATTTTTTGAAAAAATCATGAAAAACGTCATATCTTGAAAACTACAAGGATTTGAGAAGTGAGAATTGTAGGCAAGATTCGCAACACCTGAGAGTACCCTGACAGCACCCGACTACAGGGCGAGAATTTCAAAAATTGAGAAACCTCGAAAATTGCCTATCTCCTAAACTGAAAGGATTTGGTTAATCATATATGGAGGCCAGAATCGCAAAACCTGGGAAAACTCTGACAATATCCAACTATTGGGTTGCTAATTTCAAACTTGATGGAATAAACCCCGAATTTAAACTGGAAAATTGAAAAACCTGAACCATTGCAATATACGATATAGCTTAAACGTGAAAAAATTCATTTATTAAACATGCAAAAATAATACGTTGAAAAAGCTTAAACATGGCGAGATAGTGAAGCCCGCATTTAAATATATAACAGATAGATAGATAATAAATGAAAGTTGAAAAATTAGGCGACGGGTAGACAGACATAATCAAATTAAATTAAAAAGCAGGTATACAGACAAACAGATAGACTTAATTTGGCCTCGAAAAAAATACTAAACAATTAATGACCTTACGGAAAACTAATTGAAAAATGTTCTTAAGCATTGCAATATATAATATGGCTTAAACATGAAAAATTTCTCCGATAAACATGCAAAATTATTATGCTTAAACATTGGAGATAGCTGTCACTCGCATTTAAATATAGTATAGATAGATAGATAGATTGAAATTGAAATGACTATATTATGCATTATAATTCGAAAATTGAATTTGAACGTAGGCAAAGCTGAACTTGGCAAACACTAGCCACAAAAAGCAGCTCTATAAGGTACAATAAGCCTCAAATTAGTGAACATTCAGCTACGCCTCGGATTCGATCTACGACCTAGAGATTATGAGTCTCACACACTAACCACTCAGCCACGGATGCTAAGAAAACACAAAAACTACCCACAAATGAAGCAGAGAACAGATGCTATGAAATTTCCAATGCTACAGATCGTGATTAAAGCGAAAGTGCCACCAAATAAGTGAACACTTTTAGTTGCGAGTTAGGTTAGAAAAAAAGAAGGTTTATACTAATACTCTAACGCTCGCTGGTGTAAACACATGCATTATACCCAAATAGTTCTCAAAATTACCACCTATTGTAACTTATCATCTTAAATTCATACAGAAAACACCAATTTTTTTACACTATTCAATTTATTTGAGCAAAACAAAATGCGTCTTGTTTGAAGCTAAATGTCGAGTTTCATTTTTGAAAGCTATTTACAAACTAAGCCCTTTGTTGAAAGTTTCAAAACCCGCATAGGCAACCCTAACTGCGAAACTCAATGGGCAACTCACGTCAAACTTTGATTTTACGGAGTACAATTATGTCTCAATTAATCACAGAAGTTTATATTGCACGCAGCAGTTTCTAACGCACAAAAAAACTTTTCATTATGATCGTATTTTCAAAATGACCTGTTTACTAATAACTATCGCATGATTTCTGTTAAAATTAAGTGATATTCTATTATAATTCATGAACTTTGCGAGAAATGTGAGAAAATTGTTGCTTCTTTGAAAACAGTTTTATGGTGCAACACTATTTCTTTTCTGATGCAACTTAATGTACAGGTTATTACACCCGATTTGTTTGACGACAATGCTTGATGTCATTGATATCTAATTGCAATGAGCATATAAGAAACAGCGTATAGACGTCAAATGAACTTATGACGAATTCAACCAGTTAAAAGCTAGCCAGCAGAAAGTTTCTGCTTCAAACACGAAGTGGGGGAGAATTTTTGGATCGGCGTATGATTTTATTTTTTTTTTTCAAAACCTTTTCCCCTAAGATCAGGTAAAACAAAAACGCTAGACAACGTCAATCAACCTTGTCTAGCGGCCGAATTCGTCATAAGCCGAGTCTCTAAAAATAGTCGAGAAAAAAATATATTTTTACTTTGATTCATTTTAAGCTTTAATTGCTATAATCCTTTTACAGGGTTGAAGTTCAATAGCAACCAAACTTGAAGAAAAAATTTTAACCGTCTATCTAATAAGCAAAAAATCGTCACCTATTTCAATTCAAGCCAATGCCATCAATCGTTCAGATGCTAAGAAGTACAACAGCTTGAGATCCTCGGCCTCAATTTAAGTTAGCGCTGGATTCCATGCATTTACGCAGAGGCGAAGTTGCACTTCGCATACACAAGCAAAAATATGACCGATAATGCAATTGGGAAAAACTGAATGAGTAAAACTTTGAGTGTACATAATTTCTTAAGTGACGCACGCCAATTATGAATCTGCATAATTACCAAGTGACGCATGCCAATTATGACGCATTAGCAGTACCAGTCAATTTGAAAAAAGAAATTTACCAACTTAAATTCCTCAATTTATAGAGCGGACGCATTTTAACTAGTCAGTCTATAAAGCAAAAAATCGTCACCTATTTCAATTCAAGCCAATGCCATCAATCGTTCAGATGCTAAGAAGTACAACAGCTTGAGATCCTCGGCCTCAATTTAAGTTAGCGCTGGATTCCATGCATTTACGCAGAGGCGAAGTTGCACTTCGCATACACAAGCAAAAATATACCAAAAAGTTAATAAAGTTAATATACTAGTTAATATAAAAGTTAATATACCAAAAAGTTAATAAAAACATGCGACCCTACCCAGGTTCGAACCCTCTTTTTTGTTGCGGGTCTCCTTCCCTACCTCTACGCTACAGATCTACGATACCTTGAAGCTAAAGTGCTATTTGTAATATAATAGTCTGTGTTATATCCTTAGCATTGGCTGAACTCAATAGCTTGTTATTAATCTTATGCACATACTGTTAATAAAAGAACACTTTCATACTTTAATAAAACAACACTCTCATATTTGCGAGTTCATACTATCACACAAGTTTTGCTGGTGTAATTAACACCGTTATAGAACATACGCACTAACCTATACGCACAAAAAAGAACGAAAAATTGAACGAAAAAATCAAGTACGAAAAGAATCAAAAATTATTTTTTGCATAAATAACTGTGGTAATTGCGGTACATTAAAATTTAACACTCTGTACTACCAACTACAACTATTGTTGTAAAACTTTCTGGATATCTTAACCTAACCCCCTTGCAACCGGGGGAGATCCGTTAGTATGTACAAAATTCAAATAAGTTTAACCGTTGAATTGGTCCTTTTTAGGACTGACAATTGTTTACACAGAGGCGAAGCTCCGTTTCGCAAACACAAGCTAGGAAAATGCAGAAAACAGCTCTAAACAGGCAAAACAAGGTGAAATAACAAAAAAATTGAAAATACATTATGAAAAAAAAATTTGGAAAACAAGAGTTCATACTATCGCACTATCTTTGCTTGTGTAATCACATATTGCGATGATACTGAAATGCGTAATTTTCAAAATTACAAAAAAAGGACTTCACGCAAAACCCTAGTGTTTCTCTGCCTAATTACGGAATCAACCACCCAGTTAAAGAAGAAAACTAATACTCTTTCTTTCAATTGAAGTCTTTATCTCAGATTTGGCTGGGTAGCTTTCGAAAAAAAAACTCCGAAACTCGATCAAAAATTCAAAAGACTTTTCTTAAATCCTTAAATTTTCGCAACTAAAGCATGAGATGGACATCGGCTGTCCGCACCTTGATTTTTAGATTGAAGATTTCCGCACCCTGATTTTTTAAATTGAACCCTTAATTTCAGATTTAGCTAGTTTTCGAGAACAGTGACGAAAATTCTGAATAAAAAACGGTTCAAATTCAATAAGGAATTTTTACGATGTCTATATCAGCTTTTCTACAAAAACAGGGTTAAATAGATAACGCAGGGAAAATCTAAGCACCTTGTTTGTTTTATTGAACTATCAACTTTAGAATCAGCAGGTTAGTTTTTGAAAACAAAAGAATAACTTCCAAAAAACGAGCAAAATTTTCAAAATTTCAAACGCACCATAAGTTTCTACCGCCATATTTTCTTCAAAACGCACGGCATAGCCACTTTCGCAGGTATTATTCGTATAACTGGTTTTTTCTTCGGTTTTGTAATCGGTTATGTCTCGTTAATTTTCGGTTAGGCTTTGCTTGTATAATTAGGTAATCATAGGTGTGAATAGTTGAAAAAATCCAATTTTTTCAGCCCTCTAGCTTACTAGGGCAAACTATTCCATCTGCATCTTCAATAATCAATTTCAAGAGCACTTGCGGAATCAAATCATTTTATACTTTTAAACTATGTCTACTTCTTAAAAAACAAAACATTTTACTCATGAATCAAAAATAACTTTGAAATGTGCGTCGGTACTTAGGTTCCATAACAAATAACAGCCTGAAATTTTATTGTTAACACGACTACAAAATGTGTATTCGAAAATTTCAGAAACAAATAAGAAAACCTACTCAGTAGTTGATAAATATGATGCGTTTATATCATATTCAAATCTTTTTGACAGTCAAAGATAATCGGTCTAGCTTTTATTGCATTTAAGACGAAACTGAAAAGTAAAGTATAAAAACCGTCAAATAACCATTATTTAGATATTATTGAAGATATGCTCACTTGGTCATTTGAGCAGCTAGCAATTAGGGATCCGTCACTGTTGGGCTTAGCCACTCGCACCCAATCTGAGTGGCCCAGATAAGTATTGGTGCAGAAACCAGTATTCATATCCCACAGTTTAATCGTCTTGTCTCTACTGGCCGACAACACATGGTCTCCCGAAGGCATCCAGGCTACACTGGACACATTATGGTCATGTCCATGTAGGGTCTTAATACATTCGTAGGTACTGAAGTCCCACAATTTGATGGTGATGTCGGCAGAGCAGGAGACTAGGCGGGTACCCTCGGCGTCGAACGCCAGACACTGGACTGAGTCACGGTGGCCCTTGAGGGTCCTCTCGAAGTCCCCGTGCTCCCAATCCCACACTTTGATGACAGTGTCTTCTGACCCAGACACGAACACACTACACACAAATCAAAATACTCATCCTACGATATTACATTTCATATTATCATAATTTTGAATGCGATCAAAAAACTTCTATTAGAGGTTCCACTCGACAGGCAAACCTTTCTTTTTGGCATCCTCTGAAAGATGCAGCTAAAAACTAGCTGAAATTTTATAAATCTTCTGTATGTAATAACTGCTTCCTGGAAATTCAATTGTTACACAGAGGCTTACTTTGCTGCTGGTCTCCTTCCCTATCTCTACGCTACAGATCCATGATACCTTGAAGCTTAAGTGCTATTTGTAATATAATAGTCTGTGTTAATATCCGTAGCATTGGCTGTACTTGATAGCTGGATCAAAATGATCCGTTTCAAAATGAACGCATTTTGTCGCAACAATTGCACATCGCATCAAAATTTGCGACTTAGGTTGGAAAAAAGAAAGTTAATACTATAACACAAGCTATGCTTGAGTAAATAAGCTAAACGCTAGTGTAATTATTGTAATTTCAATGAGTTACTTTAAAATATAGGAATTGAAAAATTCTGATCATATGGCTCTTTTTTAGTCTTAAATTTTTGGCCGACCTTTAGGCAATAGTGATTTTGACGAACACTTCAGCTATTTGGGAGAAAATTCATGGCAGAAAGGATTTCTAAAAAAAACTAGAAAAAATCTATTATTGAAAATCAAGTTCTGCCTTCGATTGTTGAAAATCAATTTAGATCGGAAAGCAACCACCAAATTTAAGAAATATGAACAGCAACAATTAACGCAGTTTTCTGATCCAAGCTTGAGAGGATATCATTAAAAACCTGCTTTTCCGTCTTCCCTGGCAATCTTCGATGAAATTCAATCACCTGGGAATTAATATCACCAAACGATCTCAAAATTGCTAACAATAAAAATTTCAAAAAAAAACGGATTATGACTTTTACTAGGGGCAATCATGCTAGCTCTCTCTCTCTCTCCCTATGCTGATCTATCGTAAAACAATTCGAATTTAAAGTCTAATCTGCTGTGGTTGGTTGGTTATGTTGCGAGGAGTCTCACTTGAATTTGGGGTGGAACACGACACAGTTGATGGTTGCCCTGTGCCCGGACAGAGTGTACTTTGCGGGCACTCTGGGAATCCACTCGGCCGGGTCTTTCTTCTCCCCCCTCGTGCCACCGCCCCCTCCCCCCGAAGAGGACTCGTTCTTGGTCGCTTGCAAGCTCTGTTCTAACTCAAAAATCTAAACAGCAAACAGCCCCTCTTATTAAAACAGTCAAAAATGAACAACCAATGGGATTCACCATTCTCAATCGAAAAACGCTAAATTGCAATCTTTCACAATTTTGGAAAATAAAGCATACTATCAATTTGTTATCAATTGTTCAGTACTTCACGTTTTATTTAAAAACTGATTATCTGCTTCCTAGTTAGAATGAACTAAGTTAGAACCAATTCTGACATCTGGCCATACTTAGCACGGGACTTTTATGGCATTTGCATGACACTCACTTTTTTCTGTAATCTGATCACACTTCCCCACTTCTTCTCCAGCAGACCAGACTGCTTTGATGTCAGTTCAGACTGAAACAAAACACTGTTGTTAAAACTGAATATTCAGAAAAGAGATTTTAACAAATCTGAAACTGAACCTAAATCAATTTCTATTTTAACAGTTTCTTTTAACTCAGATGCGAAGCAGAGCTTCGCATCAATTGCATTTTCGAAAAAATATATAGCCAACAGATATTGGAGAAATGTAAATGAATACAAAGAAATCAAAAAATGACCGAATTAGCTGCTAACAAGATACGGAACTCAATTACACTTTTAACACAGTCGAAGCAGAGCTTCGCATCAATTATATTTTCGAAAAAAAAACAGCCAACAGATAATGGAAAAAAGCAAACGAATACAAAAATGACTGAATTAGCTGCTAACACGATATGGAACTCAATTTCAATTCAAACACAGAAGCAAATCAGAGCTTCGCATCAATTGTATTTTCGAAAGAGAAAATATAGCCAACAGATATTGGAAAAATTTAAATGAATACAAAGAAATCAAAAAATGACCGCATTAGCTGCTAACAAGATACGAAACTCAATTACACTTTTAACACAGAGTCGAAGCAGAGCTTCGCATCAAATATATTTTCGGAAAAAAAGCAGCCAACAGATAATGGAAAAATGCAAACGAATACCAAAAATGACTGAATTAGCTGCTAACCCGATATGGAACTCAATTTCAATTTAAACACAGAAGCAAATCAGAGCTTCGCATCAATTGTATTTTCGAAAGAGAAAATATAGCCAACAGATATTGGAAAAACGTAAATGAATACAAAGAAACCAAAAAAATTACTGAATTATCTATTAACAAGATACAGAACTCATTTTCAATTTGAACACAAAATCAAAGCAGAGCTTCGCATCACTTGCCATTTCGAAAGAGATAACATAGACGACATATAATGGAAAAATGTTAAAAAAACGCAAAAAAAACCAAAAATTGACCGAATATTCTACACAGAAGCCAAGCATCACTTGGGATACACCAGAAATATAAAAATCATAGGCCGAAGAAAAAAATGTTTAAAAAGGGAGTTCTACAAGAAGTTCAACTTTCTTATGTCTGGATAGAATTTCATTCTAGGCACACATTAACAGTAAATTAGCAACGGTAAAAAAACTTACTGAGAGGAAACAACGCCGACAATCTTAGAACACACGAGTTGAGCCCAAAAAAATGATTTTATAAAAACATTCCTTTCAAATTTAAGTACTTCTTGAAACTACAATGAACAGCACTGGCACTTGCAACTACAGAGAAATTGGCTAACAAAGAGAAAAATCGTGATGCGGCAACGAAGCCGAAAACCTTTGAACAGACACCAGTTGAGTCGAAAAAAAAAATAATTTCATTTCAAAAATTATTAAGTTTCAAGTCCACCCTGAAATTACATTGAACACACTTGCACTTGCAACTACAATGAAAGTTGCTTAAAATACTAGCAAAATTCTTGATGTGGTAACTAGCAGTCAAAACTTGAGACGACAAACGAAAGTCCGACAATTCATTTTTACCGGAAAAAAATTTCAATTGAATACGTACCTAAAAAAAGCAGGTCCGGCCGGGACTCGCACCCCAACCTTCGGGCGCTGAGTCAACGTCGTTACCTCAACGCCAACCGAGAATGTATCTGGAAGTATTTAAGTTTCAATAATAAAGCAAGCAAGAAAAGCAAGTAAGATATGTACGAAAAGTTCTTTACGGGAATAAAGTCGAATTCGCATAATTCTAGTTTTAGTCTCGCACTCAAGATACGACACTAAAATTCAATTTAAACACAAAGGCACACAGTTTCGCGTCAATTGCATTTTCGAAAGAAAAGACTCAAATTTGGAGAAAAAACCTTTAGAGACCGTACAAAAATATGACAAAATCAATCTAGCATGGTGGTTAAAAATACAGAACATTATTGAATACCGCGTAGAAAAAGAAAAAAAATAAACAATAATGCAATAAAAAAAGTTGAGCTTAGAAAAAGAACAATTTTCAAGAAGCTGTATATCAGCATTATGTAGGCAGACACTTTCTAAAACAAAAACAAAATTAAGAAATTTCAGTCGAGTAGCTAACTTGAGTCGACGCTACACTTCGCTAAGGCAAGCAAAAAGAAACTAAAACACAAAAATACAAAAAAGTATATGAGCTATGAAACGTCAAAGAAAATGTTCCCTATGAGATTTGAATTCCAACTTCCAAAGCGAGTCTAATGTTTTCACCACAGCGCCAAGTAGAATTAGAGCAGCCAAAAAATACAACGCAAACAAATACAAAAAATTAGTCAGCTTTGAAATGTCGAAGATTTAAATTCAAAATTCGAAAGCCCAACAGCACCACGTAGAAAAAGAGCAATCAAACATTATTCAAGCAGTAGAAAAAACTGAGCTGAACACTTTTTGATCACTTACTTATCCGACTATTTATAGAGCCTTTCATTTATATCCTGATTCGCATCAATTGCGTTTTCGAAAAAACTCAAAACATTGGAGATAGACTTTTGGAGACATTAAAAACATAATACAAAATCAACCTAGTACGCTGGTTAAAATTATAGAAAATTTTTGACACAGAAGCGAAGCGGAGTTCCGCAGCACTTGCGATACAACGCAAACATAAAAACACAAAAAGCCGAAAAAAATGAACATTTATGGAAAAAAATAGGTCATATAAACTTTCATATGACCTAATTCAATAGTTCATTCCAGGCAAAAATGTCAGAAACTTGAACTTTAAAACAGCAACAATGGAACAGAAATTACGAAAAAAAAACAAAGCCGACAATCTTTGAGCAGATACAAGTTGAGCCGAAAAAAATATGATTCAATCAAAAATGTTTATAGTCCCACCATATAAAACAAGGGACAACACTTGCACTTGCAAATATAATGAAAGTTGTTTACAGCACGAGAAAAATCAGTGATGTGGCAACTAAGTCAACAATCTTTGAGCTGAAACCACCTGAACCGAAAAAAAAACGATATTTTGATTTTTCAAAAAAAAGCTTTCATGTCCCCCTTGAAACTAGACAGAACAGCACTTGCACTTGCAACTCCCCGCTGATATAAAAAAATGAACAAAAGTCCCCGCTGATTTTAAAATGAACAAAACTTGCACTTGCAACTACAATTAAAATTGTCTATATCACAAGCAAAATTCGTTGTAACAATTTAACCGAAAAAACTTCAACGGAGAACCAGCCATTCATTTCTCTCGGATTTTTTTTTCAATTTTCTTGATACTGAAAAAAAAGGTCCGGCCACGACTCGAACCCCAGACATAAGTGTACAAAGGCAACTTATTTACATCCAAGCCAACGGGAAGCAACCTGACATGTTAACAGAAGAGAACATAAGTGAAAAGAAGTCAGCTTCATAGAAAAGAAGTCTCCCCTCCTCAGCAAGTTATTCAACCGATTTTACTAAACTAGTTGTTAACCCGAAAAAAGTCTACATTACAGTTTGATAACTTATCCGGCTATCGCGTGTAATTAAAGTTGAGCCAAAAGCAAACTCAACCGAAAAACGGTTCAAGACTCAAAACGAAAAAGCAGAGACTACGGGATTTGAAAACTAGGTCTACGGGTTCTGATATACACACTTTACCGCTGCACTGCTGCTGCCCAGATGGTCCCAGATTCACACATTCTTGACTAACACATACAAGCAGCGAAGAACGCGCAAATACAGCGGATATTGCTCGAGCAGTTCAAATAAAAGCGCATTAATTTTTCTATAAAATTTATCAATGAAACCTATAACTTTTAGTGGTTTCTTAATATATCACAAGCTCGCTGGCAATGAGCGAGCCATAAGCAATGGAGTTCAAAAGTTATGATATAAAGACAAATTACATATTTTATATGTATTTTTTAAAATACATATATCATAACGATACACTCAAAATTTCACGTGTACATGTTCGTTTTGAACCTTCTCATCGTACTTCAATGACAAAACCACACAACTGTCACATTTTTCAGCCCTTCGTTCTGATCAAGAGTTATATCTACACAATATATGAACTGATACATTTGAAATGTGATAACGTACGGCATCTATGTTGGCCTCTTCCTGGAAAGACTGGAACGTCTCTGTGTAGCCAGAAGCCCTCAAGTAATCTGCTATTGCTTTGTTGCTGAAACAAACAAAGGCAGCCAATTAAATTTCAGCTACAATCTTCCAGTTCTCCTATCCTTTTTTGACATTCAGTTTTGTCTCATAGTCGCATTCCAGAATCAGGTTTACAAGGGTGCAAACTCAATTTATTAGTCACAATTTGAGTCGAAGATATCCAATGGTTCTGATACACTTGCCATATTAATTCTCAAATCTACTTCTGTATGGTCATTTGGTTGTTGCGCATTTTTACATCAATTCAATTCAGCTTAACTTTCAAAATTTTGCAATGAATTGTTTTTATGGCATAACATTAATAGCATTTGTAATCACAGAATTGCCGCTTTGCAACCAACAAATTTCGTTTTCAAACAAACTTCGTCTCACGATTCGTCTTGAGCAAAATAGTTAAATGCAAATTTGAACAGCTATATTTTTCATCCTTTAAATTTAACTGGCGGATTTCTGTTCACTGAATTCATATTTCAATGAATGGAAAGATGTACATGTTTGACCTATTTAGGTACAGCCAAAAATGGAAAGAAGCAAATTGGCAACATCACTAACTTTCTACTTTGTTTCTTGTTTTTAAAATTACAAAATATAATTATTTTCCAATAAAAAAAATTGAATTTTGCTTTTAAATTCGTTGTTGAGTGAATATTTTCATCTGCTAAGTATGCAATTTTTTCTGGCACTACATTTTCTCAAACGTACGTTCATCTATTTTAAATTCCTTCGAATTGTTTTTTTTCCAGAAAAATCTACCAGGACTTACAGTTCTTCTCGCTGTTTTTCGGTCAACATTTTGATGGAAATGCAACCATGTAATAGAATTAGGATTGACTTATTGTTGGAGTGTCTTTACGACGAATACTGGAACAAAGCGAATCAATGATCAGCCTCTTTTTCATGATACCTGAAAGCAAATGATGGTATGTTTTAATAAGAAGTAATAATCAAACATTTATACTTGTAATAAAAAGGCAAGATATAACCAGGATAGCCGGTAGCTCTGCAAGTAGCACTAAATATTCCGACTATATTCTTAAAAATACAAAATGTATTTTCATGTTCATTTTTCAAATTAGTGTTGCTTTTTGTGCGAGTGATATGATAGGATCTGACGAAAACCTGAAATTTAGACACATCAGACAATTACAATAAATTAGACAAATCGGGAAACTGTTTGTGTCAAAAATGAAAATATTAACGAAAACAATATTTTACTTTTTTGCAGGAAATGTTTTGAATTAATTCATGGTGTTTTTGTGTTCAAAAACGGCGCCAAAAAACTTCAAAAAATTATTTTACTGGAGTTGAACTAAAAATTCATAGTTTATCTTTCTATAATAAGCATGCTCGTTTGCTTTACTCGCTCGAAATTAGACTAACTCAAAACCTTCAAACCGATGTTTGCCGACACTCGGACAACTTTTTGAAAATTTTCGCTCACCTTTTAAATAACTTTAGAGAAGTTACGCATAAAAAAGTTAGAGAAAACTCAACAAATGGGCACTACATTGGCGATTTATGAAGAAATATAAGCATAATCATCAGAAAGAAAAAAAACGTTGAAGAACTTAGCAAATCGATAAAAAGTAATGGCTGTATGAAATTTTTCCTAACTAGTTTCATAAAAGAAAATACAGCTTTAAAATTATAATATTTTCACGAATATTTTATGACTAGACGGTTTCCGATTAAACTAACGCAGTTTAAAAAAATCGCCTACCAATTCAGGGATTAGATTCGATGTGCGCGCCAAAAATACGATTCTTGATCAAAACCTTCAAAAAAAGCCCAAAAAAATAATTTTGACCAGTTTAAACCAATTGTCTGCAGCGCAGAAAACTTCAGTAAAATAGGGCCTTTTTAGTGTTTCGGAGGAAATCAGAAATTCAATTCAGTCAACATTAAAATTTTTTGAAAAAACTAGAATGGGGATTATAGCGGAGCCGTAGCCATTGGATACGAATGAGAAACAAAACTTTTTTTGTTATATTTCCGGCTTTTTTAAAATAAAGGCAACCCATTTTGAGAAGACCAGTTTTCAATGCTAATTGGAATTACGACTGAATGGTATTTATTATAAAAGATCACTTGACTTAAACGAGGGGCTTTTGCGTACCTGGTTTTATCAACAAAAAATGGTAATTTTTCTACCTCAAACCAATTAACTTTTATCAAAATTCCTGCAGTTTTAAACAGCTTCAATGTGGGACTTTTACTTCAATTATTTTTTAAAAAATAAAATTTTTGTTTCCTTTAGCAATGATTTTAAGACACACCTACGATTGCGCCAACTTCTATTTCTTTTGAAGGATAAAGATGAGTCCCTGTTAAAATCAAACGCGAATTGCGACAAAACATTTTGCGCCAAGAAAGTGGTCTTTCGAATGAAACAACCAGTAGACACTTCAAAATAAGCAAAAAAGGACTAGATTTCATTAAAATGTTTCAACATTTGACCGCATTTGAGAAAAAATACTTAAGATCCGTTTTTTTACTCGCGAGAGCATTTTTCCTTCCAGATAGCAGATGAAATTGAAGAAAATTTGAGAAAAAATCTTGTGTCAGACAGCCAAAACAAAAAAAAAACAAGACTTATGGTACAAGAGCGAAGCTCTAAATGTTCCCAATTCCAATTTTATGGGTCGGGTGCAGTTTTGAACAAAAGATTGATAAATTTTTCATTTAAAAAATCTCCCCTCACATGACAACCAAGCACCAAATAAGAGTTTGCATTTAGTAACGCAGCAATAGAAATTTTTTAAACTTCGAGCAAAGGACATCAGTATCATTCAGATGTTATAAAAACTCCGTAAAAAATTGCTAGTTAAGAAGCAAACCACAAGAATCAAACCTCAAAAAACAAACCACGCCTCAAGAAACAAACCAATAAACAAACCACGCCTCAAGAAACAAACCACGCCTCAAGAAACAAACCACTCCTCAAGAAACAAACCACGCTGATCACAAATGTTCCGTTATTTTTTTTCGAAAGTGGTAAAAAACCAAAAAAAAACAAATAAACAAAAGAACTGAGAGGGCAAACAAACACACAGAGGCAAAGCCAACTTCGCACCATTTGATATACAAAAATATATGACTATGATTAAAATCAAGTAAAAAAAACGATAAAACTGAAAAAAAAATCTTCAAAAAACCGTTTTCGTCCAAAAAAAATTGGAACAAAAGCCAAAAACATCCCAAACAAAGATACCAGGACTTTACTAGGAGCTATACCCGAGCTTTGCACCACTTGCGATACAACAAAATCATAAAAAGCAAAAGTCGAAACACAGAAAAATGCGCAAAAATCAAGGTGAACCAACATTTCGGATGTCTCAATTAAGGACACAAGGGTCTAGCTAAAGCTGGAGGTACGCGTTTGATATTTTTGAACACGTTATACTGATGCGGACGAAATGGGTTATTAAAAATTGGACTTTGCTCAAAACCTTTGTTGTTTCTCTAATAAAATAAATGAGAAGAGTAAAAACTTTTTGAGATTTTGGAATTTTCACAAAGACATAAATTTTCTCTTACAAAAAAACAGAGGAGTAGCCACTTCTGCAGTAAAATTCTCGCTACCGCATCTTTTGCCTGAAATTTTCATCTCATAATTGATAGGGTAGTTTTCAAGAAAACTTTCTAAAAAAACGGTCACAGTTCAAAAACTTGACTTTCCGGAATCCGTATCTTTTTTTCTGACAAAAGCAAGTCGTGGCCGGTAAAGAAGATTCCCAAAATCGGGTTTCTCGATTGAACACTTAATTTGAGAATTGGCAAGGTAATCTTCTTCGATTAGAGTCCAAAACATTCGAAAAAAGGTGAAAATTTCAAAATTTCTTTTGTTTCAAGGGCATTACTTTTTTTCTAAAACAAAGTAAGCATAGCAAAATTTAAGGGTAAGCTTCCGAAAACCTGTTGTGTCGATTAAACCTATGATATCAATTTTGGCAGGATAATTATCGAGAAGAGTCAAAATATGGTCTAAAAAGCAGAAATTTGACATTACCCAACTCATAGTTTTTGTTTGAAAAAAGTTGGATGTATCCACTTACGCAGAGAAAATTCACCCAGCATGTAATTTCGATTGAACTCAGAAACCCAGGTTCGACAGGGTAGTTCTCTGGAATGCAAAGGAGCTTCATACAACCCGTTCTTTGGATTGTTCCCAAATCTAAGATATGGGCGGGTATTTTGAAAAAAGCTCTAAAAATTGACTTTTCCGAGGGCGACAACTAATTGTAAGAAAAAATTGTGAATGGCCGCTAATGCAGTGAAGCTTCTCACTACCCTTTATCTCCATTGAACCCACAACCTCAAGTGTGAGAAAATTGAAAAAGGTTAGTTTTCGGGGTTAGTTCGAGAAAATATGAAAAAGATTAAAAAACAGTCAAAAAAAAATCAAAACTCGAGTATTCCGAAGGCCATAGTTTCATTCATAAAAAAATTTAGGCGTAGCTGCTTATGATGAGTAGTTTTTCAAATCCGATCTGCTCATTGAAACTAAAATCTACGATTTGGTAGGTTAATTTTTTGAGAAAAAAATTGAAAATATCGGTCAAAACCGCCTCACAGATTTTGCGAAGTTTGTAGAGAAAGGGGTGAGCAAAACGAGACCAGGAGAGTATGGAGTACGCACAAAAGACTGAGGGCGGTCTTTCTATGGATACCGTTTTTTAGAAAAACGGGTTTTAGTTTTTCTCAAGAAGGAGTTTTGAAAAAAAAAAATTTCGCAAAAAGTGATTAAATTTTCAAAGTGTCTCAAAAAAAAGATTACAAAGACGCAACAAGGCCAAAAATCTATAAGCAGACAGCAATTGAGCCGAAAAAAACTGATTTTTCAAAAATAAAACTTTCAAAAATTTCAAGTTCACCCTGAAACTACCCTTTAGTAACTAGTGAAACCCAGTGGTTAAATTTGAATTTTCATGAAATTCAGCATGTCAGCATCATAATGGATTCAACTGATTTTGTTAAGCTACTAGTTTTAACCCGAAAACAGTCTACATTCGATTTGATAACGCTGGCTAATCGCAAGCGTAAAAAAGCAGTTTCCGCGGAACTAAGCCAAAAAACGCAGAGACAATAATCTTAACTAGACAAAAATCTACACTTTGCAAAAAAAAGGTCTCGACTGACATCTAACTCGATTTCTGACGTCTCACGCATGGGTGTTACAGCAACTTGGAAGAAAGCTGAGTCTTTAACAAAAGTCGGGCTATGGGACGTAACAATTCTAGTTTGCAAAAAAAACAGGTCCTGGCCGAAACACAAGCCTTTGCCGTCTCAATCAGTTCTGTTATCTCTACGCCAGATGCTCCGAGTAGCCTAAAACTCTTCAGAAACCCTTCAAGCCAAAAACATTCAAGAAACTTCAAATTTATTTAAAAAAAACTTTCAGTCCCGCTTCCACTAAGTACACACACACGCAAACATTTTGTTGGGTCATCAAACCGCGCAATAAGAAGCCACTAAGTCGATATAAAATAAACCGGAACCTATTAAAACGAAAAGACAATGACGAAATTACTATGAACATAAAAAGCAAATTTCTACTAGTCCGGCTATTTTAAATCCTTAAAAGGCCCAGTAGATGAATGAGTCCAGGTGATCAGTGCTTTGATCAAAGCTGTTTACGAGAAAAATTTCTAGTACCCAATTGCATTATCCTTGCTTATCGCAAGAATAAAAAATCAAAACAACTTCTCAAGTAATTTTTTCTCTTTTTAAGCGTCTTTTCTGTTTTTTAACAAAAAATCACAAAACCTAATAAAGTAGGAACTAATTTAGCTTATTTACACTTGAAAATACCATTGTTATTCTCAACCAATTTTTAAACTCTTTCACAGATCTACACTTAACTCGCCTCTTCGCGCGAAACGAGTAACTGATCTCGAAAATAATAACTCGAAAAATCCTAATGGTCTTAACGAATAAAAAGTAATGTTGAGTACATTAAATTAACTTTGCAACCGAACCAGCATCTGCAAAATATTCAGCCGGATCAGGTGGCTTGTCTTACACGCCGCCAAAACTCAGTAACGCAAGCATGTAAGCAACAGTCATTAATTCGTATAAGAATAATAAAAACGATAAAGCTCCGCTATCTGCGAAAAATATAATAACTCATCTTCATCATCGCATCTGCAAAATTCCAGATTCCATCAACTTTTCTATCTTCTTCGCAATCACCGGATTCTTCAAATGATCGGCAAGCGCCTTAGGATCCTCTTGCATTTGGTTGAGAATCATTCGGATTCCAGGGTCGGCAAGAATCTCCTGTACAGCTGGGTCCTGCATAGCCCTTGCCTTGATTTCCTCTTCCGTTAGATTACCCGTATTCATCATACGAGACGCTTTCATGTCTTTGATGTCAAGCAAGGCGTCCGCCACTTCCTTGTTATCTGGTTCAATACTCTGAGCTGATCGCAAAATGTCAGCAGCTTTGTCGAGATCTCTCGTTTTCCAAGACTGAGCTTTTCGCAGGTACGCTTTCATGAACTTCGGATCGCGTTTCAGAGTCTCGTCGCAATCTCGATCCGCTAGCGAGAACTCTCCTACCTTGATGTAGCAAGCAGCTCTGTTGCAGTAGGTCTTCGGATCTTCCGGGTTCCTATTTATAGCCTCATCGTACATCTTAATCGCGTCAGGGTAGTTTCCTTTCTGGAAGAGCTCATTTCCCTGTTGTCTGGCTTCTTCTGATTTCACAGGGTCAATGTAAGCCTTACGCTCCTGCTCTTTAATCAAATTTTCAACCTGTTTGCACTTTTGTACAATTTGAGGATCCCTGAACTCAGAAAGAGAGCTCTCAAAATTCTCCAAAGCGGCTTTGTAATCCTTTTGTTTCAGGTAAGCATTTCCCATTCTACAATATCCCTTTGCGATTTGTTTGAACTCAGCACGATTCTCGCGACCAATTTCAATAGATTTCGAGGCCATCTCAATGCATTTCGAGTAGTCTCCCATTTCAAAATAAACAGCGGCTTTGTTCAGCACATAGCTCATATTAGTGTTATCAAGTTCAATGGCTTTGTCGTAATGTTGCAGAGCAGTTTCGAAGTCTTTCGACTTGTAGGCAGCATTTCCCTTCTCTTTTTCTTCGTCGGCGGGTGTCATTTTTGGTTTTTCAGGTGCAGGTGGAGTTTTCTTAGCTGGCTCTGACTTGGAAGCCGTTTGAGGTTTGGCCGAAAACACAGTCGGCTCAGCGGTATCCATTTCCGAATCATCGTCCCCTGCCGCACTCATGTCGGAGATATTAATTCCCAAAATGACTCCCAGAGCCTTCATGAATCTGGGATCGCTTTGCATCAGTGACGTCATTAACTGTGGGTTCGATTGCGCCATCCCCAACATCTGCATAAAAGAAGGGTCATTGAGGTATTCGCGGGTAGTGGGGTCAGCTCGCAACTTCCCAATTGCTTCTGGACTGGCAAATGGGTTGAAGCTTCTTTGCTTCTTGCTTCGAACCTCCGCCAGGCCGTCTTTAAGAGCTTGGTTCTCTGGATCCACTTTCAAGCCTTCATTATAACACGCTTCCGCCTCCTCAATTTTGTCCAAGTAAGCCAAGGCTGCCGCTTTTCGCGAATAACCCTTACCCCACGATTTATTAAGGGTCACACATTGTTCGCCATCTTTAAGAGCCTCTTCGTACTTTCCCTGTTTCGCGTATGCGGCCGACCGGTTGCTGTACAGCACGTGGTTCGAGGGGTCAATAGCGATCGCTTCCGAGTAGTGTTTGATGGCCTCGTCATAGTTCTCGCTCTGGAGGGCTTTGTTGCCGAGTGCTTTCAGTTCGTCCGCGGTTGACATCTTCGGTCAGCGAAGAGCGAAGAAGAGAGTGAAATAAACACAGGATCTGAAACCAACAAGATTACATCAGACTAAAACTCAAAGACCACATGAACAATCTACCCCTGAATTAATTTAAGAGGGAGATTGTTTACTTCGTTAAAAGTAAAAACTTTCAGCCAATCAGACTTATGCATAGTACACGCAAGCATTACTGATTGAATTTCTCATTTAATGTTAGGGGCAGATTTTTCACTTGGTCTATAAAGGGGGACATTGTTCAATTGGGTCAACTTCAATCAAAATTATCAGCCGAATCACCAAAAATGAAGCTGCATGGCCAAAAATCGCCACCAAGGTGGATGTATGTTATTAAACTCTTATTAAAGGAAATCAAAAACGAACTACAAATTTCTTTTAAAAATTCCAATTTACCGAGTTTCATAATTTCAATTGCATAACTATTTGAACTTGAAGACACTTGGTGATTGACACTAGTCCGATAACTCTAACTCAAATTGAGACAAGACTGTTCGTATCAGGGCGAAGCCCTGAATGTTCCGACTGTCTATGGAGCCGTAATAACAAGAAAAAATTAAATTTAATAAAAAAAATAAAATTTGAGATTTTTGTGAAAATCATCCCCCCACACGCCATAAAAAGTACAAAGTGATAGATTTCGCTCCTATTGACAAATCAATTATTGCAAATAAGCTTCCTTCAACCAATTTGGATCGATTTCTAAGACGGATTAAATCTCCGCTTACGTGTTAATAGCCCGGAATATATCGCGCGTTAATTGTCCCAAATTGGCCATAATCACAATCTTTAAACCCCCATAACTTTACTAAAAATGATCACAGGTGAAATATCTTTTCAAATTTAAGCTGAGGACAACAATACTTTTTGAGTGATACAAAAAAAATTCCGTCAAAAATGGGTAGTTAAAAATTAGATTGAAGAAAAAACCCAACCAGAGCACAAATATTCTGTTACTTGCGTAACGAAAGTCGGAACAAAAACCATTGCGAACTCTAAAAACTAAATCCAATAATCAAAGTTAGATTGACGCCATTGCTACTAAAATTTTCACCACCACGTGTAAGACGTTTTCAATTCACTTTCGAAAGTGCATTTTATATTCAAAAGAACAAAGAAATTCACATAAATGTTAAAAATTGCTCAAGCCAATTAAGGCTTTTTTCTGAAACAGAATACACAAAAAACCAGACGACCGAAATGGATAAAAATTCACTTCTTTCATTAACAATAAAAAGACCGTTTATCCGCTAGGGAATCGAAGTCTTCATCGCCCAAAGGGTCCATTGTTGACCGAAATTTCTCTTAGATTAAAAAATTCATAAATGACGTCTACGTCATAAATAAAAACTATTTGTTTCTTTTCGATTTTAATTCAATTTTACATCGTATTTTCCATGTGTGTAGGCGCTTTGTTCGATCGTATGTCTAAACCACTACTGAAACCAATTATTTTTTAAAATCAAACAATATACCTACCTACTTGCGATACAGAAATGAGTGACTATGGTGCAGATATACGAAACAAATTACATTTGTATGGCAAAACAAAATTATAAAGAAAAACTAAAAACAATCACATTCATTGTCATATACCCTGGATAAAAACTTTACCACCACAACCTTTGCAGATAAGATTGTTAGTAACTGGAATTTTGAATGCGCAGCAAAATTGAATTCAAACAGTTATCCTTATTCAAGCTTATACTGGGAAATTTAGCCAAAGAGTAAACAGCTGACGGTATTTCAGCCGGAAAAATTTTAACCACCAACTCAATTTTCCGAACTTGTTGGTTTCGCATACAATTGTCAAAAACTTAGATAAAACTAAAGCCAACTTAAGCTCAATTACCTGGAACATAATCACATCTCGGAAAAAAGACCGATTTAATTGGAGCCGAAAAATAAACAGCATACACGAATTTTCCGAAAAGCACCTACCGATAATCCAATTAACTACACATCTCTGTGAAGCCTCATACATTGTATTTACGCCTTTATGCGCTGTTTAACATAGCCAACCGGCAGCTGGAAAAATGTCGAGGAAATCAAAAGAGATAAGAAAAACTATTGACTTTTTAAACTTTCAACTTTCGAAGTTCGCATTGAAAATATACCACCATAAAGCTATGGTAACATTTCTTATGATAATACTAACCCAAATTGAGACACAGAGGCGAAGCTGCACTTCGCAAACACAAGCGAAAAAACGCCAAGAAGTAGCTTTAAAAGGATCAAAAAGAGATAAAAGGCAAAAAAAGTATGATGAGTTTTGAAAAACCAGTAACCTCTACAGGATTCAAATCTCCCTCATCAAAACATCCCAAGCTCTAAAGTCGACTGTCGTACAGACCTGTGCCAATGAAGCTTACAGAATACAAACATTCACTTAAAAAAAATTGGAGAAAACGTGCCTTTAAACTGCCAATATGCAACAAAAAAGGTACCAAAATGATCACTTTTGCTAGTGGGTTTGGAATTTCATAATCTGACACCACGCTCGCTAGCTCGCATGTGCAAAAACTGGTCCAGTTAAAGGCGAACAACTATTGAAACTTTTCACGAACGAAAATCAACACAACTTATGATAGTCTTCACTACGTTCATTGACGCTTAAAAACTATAATCACGGGCAAAATGAACCCAAACATCAACAAGACTGCTCGTATCAGGGCGAAGCCCTGAATGTTCCGACTGCCTTTTAAGGTTTATGGAGCAGTAATAACATTGAAAAATTCAATGAAATAAAACAAAACGAAAAAAAAAATCCATATAAAGTACAAAAGGATAGATTTCGCTCCTTGTAACAAACCAATTATGGCAAACAAGCTTCTTTTACCCAATTTGGAACGATTTCTAAGACGGATTAACTCTCCGCTAACGCGGTAATAGCGCGAAGTATATCGCGCGTTCATTGTCCCAAATTCACCAAAATGGCAATCTTTAAACCCCCGTAACTTTACGAAAAATGATCACAGGTAGAATATCTTTTCAAATTTGAGCTCAGAACAACAATACCTTTCGAATGATGTAAAAAAGTTCCGTCAAAAATGGCTAGTTAAAAAGTCGAAATTTGTCTGAAGAAAAAAAAAAACCCACCCCGAGCACAAATATTCCGTTACTTTCGTATCGAAAGTCGGAACAAAAACTAGAAAAGCTGAATAAATCATTTGCAATTTTTTAAACCAAAAACAAAAATCCGCAAAATCTTGGACTAAATTACCTGCACCGATAAAAATTTTGATGGCATTTTTAAGCGGGGAAAAAATCCAAAACTCCCAATCTTAAAATGACGCTTTTGCAAGTGTTTTCAAACAAGTCGAAATAACTTTTCGTCCTATGGCATCAAATACTTCAATCCCGTTACAAGATCAAAAATTAAACATAATCGCAAGCGTAAAGATAAGTTAAGGCATAAAAAAACATGAACATTCCGCTTTATCTAACCGTATTTTGTCAATAAAACGATGTCTGTCAAATATATTCAATTTTGAATTGGTCAATTTAAATAATTATACAGTTAATGCAGTGTTGTCAATTTACAGAAAATTAAAGTTGCCTTTGAACTATAATATAGAAAAGTGAAACAGTAATGGAAATATAGAGAAAGGCAGCATATATAAGGTCTACTTTAACAAATAGAAAAGTTATTTATTCACTTAAGCGAAACTGGCTGGTAGCAGGAATAATATCAACTGGCTAATCCATTCGCTCCCCCCTTCATCTCACAAAAACATCATCAGTTTAAAAATAATATCGAATTTGGAAAAAATCGGTATCAAGCTCAACAAATTTACGAAATTTTAAGAAAAAATCAAAAAAGGGGAAGAAGAATGGCTGACATTCGATCGGCTCATCTTCAAAAACTAACCAAAATTGAGCTCAAACAAAATGACTTTCTTCCATTTCAAAAAAATTAATAGATTTATGGCCTCAAATTTTGTTGAACAATGATCGATTAAACACCTCTTTATTTCAAAACGGATTTAATAGGTCTGCTGGGACTTTTTCAGTTCGCACAAACATACATTTAATATCAATTAAAGTCACTACTAATTTTGATGTAATTTAAAAGTGAGCAAGTCTTTTAAAAGGAACGAAAAATAGTATAAAACAAAATACAAATAAAATCGATGTTCCGATATGCTTGGTTCAAACTAAACTTAGAAAGAAAATGCTCTGCATATAAGAAAATAAAAACTATTTAGGATTTAAAGTATAAAGGATTAGATTAGCAAACGATTGATTAGTTCTGAGAGACATTTAAGATCTTCGATGCTATGATAACATTGATGAAATGACCCTTCAACGGCTCTTCGACGGTAGACAACGAGATACATCTGATTTTTTATAGCATCTAAATTAGTTCAAAGGCTTCAAATCTTATTTCAACCTATCTGCGACGTTCGTTACAAATTCCTTACGTATCAGATGTTCTGCTTGTCTCTTATGAAAATTTTCTCGAAAGCCTCGAAAATAAGCTCGTTCCTTTTAAGTCCTAGTGGGAGACAGACGTCCATCGCGACTGTTGCTGACAGGAGGCACAGATCTGATTCTGGGCGGTTGGGACTGGTTCAATACCTGGAGATGGGTTGCCGGAATACTGACTGTAGTTGCGCCATGACTGTGCGATGACACTAGATTCGCAACTGACGGGTCAATATGTACTGGTCGCAGGGAGATCAAACCTCCTCCCCCGACTGACGATGACGCCAAGGAGGGATGTCCAGATACTGCGGAGTTTGCATATGATACGATTTGCTGTTGCGCCTGGAACTCCTCTTTGATTCTCGGAAATTGTCCCGAGTTGGAGTGCACGGCGTGAACAGTGGGTACGGATGTGAGATTGACAACTGTCTGAGCACCTGCAGATAATTCGGATGACGATGACGGTGCGAAGATGTAACGCTGTTGTGGGGCCACATGTCTTTGCGATGAGGACATAACAATATTAGTCACTCCGCTTTGTTGATTATGACTCACTGGTTGCAGCAAGGAGTTGTTCATGAATGCCTGGATTATGTTTGAGTCCGCTTCAGTCGTACGTTGTATGGTTCCGTTTCGAGCTAACAGCGATGAGTCTAGGATACCGGCAGCTGTAGGGTAAGTCTGGATATGATGGTCCGAATCGCGCACTAACCCGTGATGTGAGATGGCAGTCGGTTGATTTGTCAGAAATATTTGAGGCGTACTTGATGACACCCTTTGAGGCGGGGCTAGGATTGTTGTATACTGTTGTGCATTGTTGTTTGAGTTCTGTTTCTGATCTGAGCGTAGAAGTAGGTTGTTTTGATTCATCTGCTGGATGGAGATACTGTTTTGTGGATTATTGTTGGAAGACAAGTGTTGTGAATTGCTGCTCTGTTGGGACTGGGCCAGGAAGTTATGCTGGACTAGGTCATTCACAGGTTGGTGCAATATTTGCTGATACGAATTGGGTAGAGGCACCTAAATAAAGGCGTAATACACAAAAATTCAAACGCAATTAATCACATATCTTTCAAATCAGACTTGTATATCAAACTTGGATAATCTAAGTGTTCATAAGCACTATGACCACTTCATGAAGTGCGAAAGAACTATGGCCCAGAGCAAACTTTTTGCCATACAATTTTAGGTAATCTAAAAAATGTCTTGATCTGATGTGACATTATAAATAAGCCCTTTCAGTTGTGACTTTATCGCAAAAACATAGCCATTAGACACTTGGAAACGTGTAATTGAACTCAGGGAAACTTATTGTAAAGTATACTCATTTTAAACATTTTTTCAATCTTTGAGTTTCGAAACAATGAATCAATTTTAGAGCTCTTTTCACTTAAATAATCTTTTATGAAAAATAGTTAATTTCTAACGATGAAACTAACCCAATTTGAGAACATAGCCAACTGACCGTTGGAAAAGGGTAATGAATGCAAGGAAACTGAAAAAAATGGTCTTTTCAAAAATCTTCAACTACAGAATTTCGAACAAAAAAATAGATGGCCTTAAAGCGCATTCAATTTGAAGAACAATATATAATGGACACTTTTTTACACCCAATCAACACAATTTGAGAAAACTGGATATTTAGGTAAAACTTTTATTTCACTGGGAAATCTGATAACTAATTTCCATTTTCGAAATTAGAAGTCGATGACGTTTTTCGTGACCTTTACAGTTTTGCTGTTCGATGGTGGAGTTTGCCTTCCTTTCAACAATATAAACGCATTGAACTTTAAAATAAATCACAAGTCAAACCGCAAAAAAAAATCAAAATTGAGGGTGAACTAATTCTAAGGTTTTTTCCTGAAAAGAAAAACAAACAAAAAATCAGCAAGACCTATAGAGTACTCACCACGTTCATTACTCTTAAAAATAAGAGCATCATTCTTTCTTCCGCTAAGGAAATCTTAACACAGAGGAGAAGCTGAGCGTCGCGCCAATTGCGATACAAATATGAATGACTATAATTAAAAATATACGGAAAAAAACTGTCGATAAAAACTGCAACAAAGGCCCAAAATATCCTGAACAAAACTGCCTGCACCATTAAAAACTCTACAAAGAGCTTTGAGAACGCTATAAAGAAGGCAAGTGTTTTTTTAAAAAAAAACAGTCCTTTCTGTGGAGCTAAGCAGACAAAAAAAGCAAACAGACAATCAAAATTAGCCAACACTTTCTATTTGCAAAAGAAAACAGGTCTCAAAGGAATAGCATTCCAGGCTTTGTCGTCTCAAGCAAGGGGGGGGGTGGGGGTTAAAACAATTTGGAATAAAGATGAACCATCGAGTTACGAGAACCAAGTCGAAAAAACTAAACAGATGGACGCATGATGCGCCGGATATGTGATTGGAGTTGAATTTTATTGCCAAGCGGTAACAAAGACAAAAATACCTGAGCAACAACCCTTCAGGCCAAAAAAAATTCAAAAAATTCTAAACTTAAAAAGACCTTAAGTCCTTTTTACCCTCAGAGCACACACACGCGCAATAAGAGGCTACTAAGTCGATATTAATCAAGCCGAAATTTATTGTCGATAAATTATACAAAAAAAATGAAAACAAAAAATGAAAACAAAAATGAAAACAAAAGAAAACAAATTGAGCTGGTAAAATTAAAACCAATGCGAGAAGCAAGTTCGTCAGGATTTTTAAATGCTAAAAGCAAATGCAGTGAGAATTGTTCGCAGCTAAAATAAACAATTCTTAGATGAGGCAACTAAGCCGACAAAACATAGGCAGACAAATAATAAGCCGAAAAATAAAACCCAGCCAAAAGACATTGAAAAAATGTACATGATTACAATGAAACCAAGAAATTGTCAAAAATAAACATTAATAAGATATGGAACTAATTTTATTTACACGCAGTGGCAAAGCAGAGCTTTGCAACACTTGTTTTTTTTTCAAAAGAGAAAACATAGCCAAGAGATATTGGAATAAAGTAAACGAGGATAGCCGGTTACTGTGCAAAAAACTTTTTTCAAACTATAATAGTTTTTTCTGCGTGTCGAGATAGAAGGATGAAAACAAAAAAAACTAGACCTTTGACAGTTATAGTAAAATAAGCAAACTGGAAAACAATTTTTAAATGAAAATAAGTCGAAAAACAAAAAATCGAAAAACATTCAGTTTATAAAACTTTTTTGCAGTTTTTTGAGGTTTTTGTTTCCAAAAAGGCGCTTAATACTCAAAAAATCAACAACAACAGTAGAACAAAACTGAACTTTAAAAGTCATATTAAGTATTTGTAGGCTTTCAAGCTATCAAAATAGTTTATTGTAAGCCTGCTAGCTCACTCGAAACTAGACGAAAAATCTAAAATTTCAAACCGGTTTTTCTCGACGCCGATAAAGATTTTTGAAAATACTTTAAGGTCGTTCGAATCACGACTGAAAGAATTTCAAAACGATATATCATTAATTTTCCTCTGATGATTATTTGTGGCAGCTGAAACTGAGTATAAAACAAAAAAAAAGAAAAAAAAATTAAAACAAACGTGAATACAAGGTTCCTCCCCATTTTCAATAGTCGAAACAAAAGTCGAAAAACAAAACTTTAAGTTTTTTTTCTGAAAAAAAAACACCGACAATGAACTCGACCTGAAAAACTAATCACTGAACGAATTATCTTGCGGCAGAGACTTGGCATTGCTGTACAGCGTGGAACAGCCGCGTGTGTGCGCGAAACTTTTACTGTTGAAGTCGACGACCTGGTTGGAGCCGACTTTCGGCGATAACCAAGATTGAATCTTGACTGTTTTTTTAAAAAGCATTTAAAATGATTTTTTATATAAATTTGGTGCTACTCTTGAAACATTCCTCGGACTTTGTCCGTTTTGTTCTTTTTTAAAGGTGTCTGAATTCACATTATTCCGCCTTCACTGAATACCTAGGCACTTTTACATAAATTCATTCACAATACAGAGGATTTATCAGCAGCTTGGAGAACTTTCGGAAAAATATAAATTCCCTTTAACTTTTGAACTTAAATCGCCAATTGCGATACGCCCTACTTGACATTAAATCAATTAATTGTTACCGTGGAAAAAAAGAAGATCACTGACTACCAGTCTCAGACAAAATATTACAATTTCATGAAAAAGAAACCATGAATTTTTCATGTTTCCAGGAAGCTGCAGAAGAAGCCACTAACCAATTCTAAGTACAATAAAGAGAAAAACTTATACGCAGTTTAGAAAACACAGTCACGCAACTATTATAGCAAAAAAGTCAAAAGAATTTTCGTATGTCTCAGAATTCTTGATTGCTCTACTATGTATAAGTTAAAGCAATTTACTGGCCAGGGAATATCAAAAATTTCCGTCACATCATAATTTGGTCACCCATATTTGAATTAAAAAAAAACAGCGTTTTTGGACGAAGCTTTCAAAAATGGAAGATGAAACACCGAGGCAAAGCGGCGCTTTGGAAAACTTGAAACAAGCAAAATAAATAATTTTCTTAAGTTTTACAATTCAAAAAACAAACACTAGCGTCAGCTTAAGTTGTTATTACGAACCTTCTGTTTCTTTCTAACCTAACTTGCAAATAAAAGTGTTCACTTATTTGGAAACTTCAATGCAGCAGTGTAATTTACATAGCATCTGTTCTCTGCTTTATTTCTGGCTAATGTTTTTTTTTCTATCTTTCTTTTTTTTTCAAATCCATCTTGCAAATAAAAGTGTTTATTAAAAGTGTTCGCTTATTTGGATATTTCACTGTAGCAATGTGAATTGCATTAGCACTTGTTCTCTGCTTTTTTTGGCTAGTGTTTATTTTCTATCTTTTATGGACTAATAAGATGCGTGACTGATTGGTCAATGTGTGTGTGACTCTTGGTCTCAAGGTGGCAGGTTCGAATCCAATACGTAACCGAAATTTTGCTATTTTGAGGCTTATTAATACTTTTCTTTTTCTTGTACTTTATAAAGCTGCTTTTGTCTTGTTTTCGATAGTGTTTGATGCATAACTTAAGTCGCAAGTTTTTTGCGCACGTTCACCGCTTTTTGGGGCACAATCACAGTCACAAGAAGCTACTTGTTTCACGCAACATAATAACAACTCGATTTCAGAAATTTTTAACTCAATATACCTCGCATTTTTTGAAATGCATATATTAAACAACATAGGCGCTACGCGCAATACACCGAAGGCATAGAAACTGAAGCAAAAACCAAACAACTTGAACAACTAATAATTGAAGAATAACAGTTCTAGAACAAAAAATCGTACTAATACATGTATACACCAAAATTTTGCTATATCGAGAAAGAGCCTGAAATAACAGTTCTAGAACTAAAAATCGTACTAACACATGTATAGGTTAAATTTTTGATATATCAACGAAGATCATAAAATAACACTTCTAGAACTAAAAATCGTACTAACACATGTATACACCAAAAGTTTACTATATTGACAAAGGGCCTGAAATAACAGTTCGTGAGCTAAAACTCGTACGAACACATGTATACACCAAAATTTTGCTATATTGGCAAAGATCATGAAATAACAGTTCGAGAGCTAAAAATCGTACTAACACATGTATACGTCAAATTTTTGCTATATTGACAAAGATCATGGAATAACAGTTCTAGAGCTAAAAATCGTACTAACACATGTATACACCAAAATTTTGCTATATTGACAAAGATCATGGAATAACAGTTCGAGAACTAAAAATGGTACTAACACATGTATACAATAAAATTTTGATATATTGACAAAGATCATGAAATAACAGTTCGAGAACTAAAAATCGTAATAACACATGTATACACTAAAATTTTGATATATTGACATAGATCATAAAATAACAGTTCGAGAACTAAAAATTAAATAAATACACACGCAGAAATAATAAAAGCAAAACTAAATGAAAGAAAGAATCATTAAATAAATAAACAAAACACGTGATAAAAATAAACAAAAATAAATATGTACATACATAAATTATAAATAAATATAAGCAAACTAAACATAATTAAATAAATAGAAGAACAGATAATTAAATAAATAAAGATGAACAAATAAAGAAACAAACATACGCAATCACGTGACATAGCGCGATATAGTCCAGCCCACATGATAATTGATAACTGTGGACGTTATTTGTCGACACTTGACAACAGACAACATTAAAAAAAAACCCGTTACACGATACCATAACACCTTGACTAAAGTCTTCGGTGTAATAATGTGGCTTTATGTTTTGCTATTTGTTAAATTTAAAGTTAGTGTGGATGCCTTCAGTTTGCTCAATTTACTAACTCGCAAAATTCTGTCTTTTTGTTTTGGGTGCCACTTTCGCTGAATGACTTGGGCAATTTATTAGCATGTGCAGCTCTTTCATTCGTGACTAGTATTCGTCAGTGGTTAAGCGCGCGTTTACTACGTAGTTAGTGCATGAAACTCAAAAGCTTTGCTTATTCGAGGATTATTTCTATTTTTTTTCCTATTGCACTTTCTAGAGCTGCTTTTTGTCGTACTCTACACTTGCGAGAACACGACAAAAAGCAGCTGTAGAAAGTACAATAAGAAAACATAGAAACAGCCCTCGAATTAGTAAAAACTCAATCTGCGACATACTGCAATATAGAGATTTTGAGCCTTACGCACTAACACTCAGCCACGCACTCTTAAGCATCGACAAATTTTTATCAAAATAAAGCAGCTACATATGCTAATAAATTGCCAATGACATTCAGCAAAAGTGGCGCCGAATACAAATAAACGATATCGGAAAGCATAAAGCCAAATTGTGTAGAATTTGCATTTTAAAAAAATTGCGAGATATATTAAGGTAGAAAACCCACGTGGCACCAATAATTGCGACTTGGGTTAGAAAAAAAGACGGTTCGTAAAAATACATTAAGCTGACGCTAGTGTAAAACACTGAAAACTGAGGATAAAAAGATACATAACAGTAAGCTCCTAACGAGATAAGCTCCCGACAAGACCAGATAAAAATAACATGAAGAGACGCTAAAAACCAAAAACGAGAAATCGACGGCATGAACTATGTGAAGCAGCAAAAAGAGCAAGGACCATAATCCAAGAGCGATTACTATATGAACAAAAGTTGAATTGAAAAAAAAATCATTAATCTAGACTCATTTGAATTTCGAAAAACTGTAAGATAATTCACCCTGCTCCTATCTCGTCTGGTTTTAATTCAAAGTATAAAACATAGCCAACAGACAGTTGAAAAGAGTCAATGAACTCAAGTAATGAGTTCACGCAAATTTCAATTTGAGACAACCTTGAAATATAATTTATCTGAAAATTTAGATTTTGCATGAGAAAATTGTCCGAAATAGTTCATTTGATCTTTTTAATAAATTACGTCTGTACCAGCCTTTTGCAATTCTCTATACAAAAAGAGTGCACTGAATGTTGCTAAGTTTCACATTGTCTTGCATGAGCTCCAAATGTAACACTATCAGTTTATATCACCGATTTTTTTTAACTTCAAAATGTCATGAGCTATTACATTCGCATATGCCATGCGCATCCGCAACTTTTGAAAATCTATTTTTTTTCACCGAAACAACTTAGGAGCCAGTTTTCGCTAGCAAGTGTGACTGTTATGTTAAGTATTTAACTATTAACAAGGAATTTTCAATAGGAGAAACGAATATCTTTGGCAATTAATTAGAATAAATCTGAACCAACCGATTTATTTGCATCATTTCGCATTTCTCGCAGCTCGTCCAACTTTCGTTTGCGATTCTAAACAACTAAGAAATTATCACTCTGAACATATTTTATACTCTCATGTAAATTACATCAACGGGACTTACATTCTTTGGTATTGAAAAATCTTCTAGTTTCGGTTTGAAAGAATTCAAATTCCCATTGACTGTTTCCGTGTTTGTTTGCTGAGAGCCACAAGGAATCACCTCCATTTTGATAGGCTTAGAGCCCATTCCTTTTTCTGCATCTTTAGGTGTTTTCAGACAGCTCAGCACTAACTGTTCGCCTTCCGATCCCTGGATTATGGGTCTTAACTTCTCAGTGGCGTATGAGTAAACATGTCCTGTTTCGCTAGCAATTAGTAACATTACCTGGGCCCCTGTTAGCACTGCGAGCTCTCGCGCCTGAAAAGACATTTTCACACTTCTTTCAAAACTATTTACCTCTGCAATATTTATGAAGCCACAAAACAGAGCCTGGTACAACGTTTAACTAGTTACCAAACCATTTATTTTGTCGCTAATGAGAACATATCCTTTTTTTAAATCTTGCCTTCTTTAGGATGCCGTTTTTTCTCTTGCTAAACGTAGTCGACCGTCTTTCCTTGTCTTTGATTAACTCAATGTTAATTTTAACTCTTCCTCTAGTCTTTTTTCCTTTCGCTTTTTCTTCCACAACCGACGTGCCATCGGGTATAGTTTCGGTTTCATCGTTGTCGATACAATGGTCAAAATCTACACTATTAACATCATCATCATTCTCGTCAAATAAACTTTTACTGGGAAACAAACTTCCGTTGGCTGTCGGATTATGATCTATTGACTTGGCCACGCTCTCTAGCGAGTCAATGAGTTCATCGGGGTCGTAATCTGTTTTCAGCTCTACAGTCGCAACTATGGGCTGTCTTGGAGACACTTCACTTAAGTGACTTCCGCCTGAGTGATGTCGGCGTTTGACTCTGTGTTCGAGTGGGTCCGCTAACTTCAGAGGGGCACCAGAGTAGTCATCTAATTGTTCGCTGTCTGAGACTGAGTTGCGCCTACTGTGGATTCGTTGCCCATCTATATTCACAAATTAACAGTGTTACCAAAACCTGAAATCAGTCACAGAAATCATTAAACCTCTTCAAAATTTCCACCTACTTTGCTCGTAAAAATTATTCCGAAGAAGCTTCTGTTCATTGGTAACATGTTCTGTCAATTTGGTTACTCAAAGACCATGTTGCTATTAAAGACAGCAGATCGTGTCAGGATAAACATCAACAAAAACACATGGTTGTTACCTTTCAGGAAATCTACGTCTTTGGCTGCAAAGCTCTGCTGCTTCGATAGTTGCTCCTCTGATGTCGGTTGAAAATTGAAAGTGGGAATATCAAACAAGGGAGTATTCTGTGATCCAAAGAAATGCTTTTCGTCGTTGGTCGCGGTTTTAGGCGTATTTATTAATCCACAAAACCTCTTGTTGGACATGATACATCTGAAACCATCACCAAATATGGTGTTCAGTCAACAAAGAAAGTTAATGCAAACAATGTCTACGCTGAATTTTGAATAATACTTTAAGAATAAGAAACACAATGGGTGGAATGGGTCTACCATTTCAAACATCCATCAACAATTGATAGTCTGGTTCCAAATTTTTTTTGTCAACAACTTGCGCAATACTATTTTCTAGTTCCCAGAGTCGCAAGAGGTCCAGAGTTCTTGTTTTAGTTTGCTGAGCATGTACTGAAACACGATATATCAGAAAAACAGCACAAAACATCAACTAAACAAAGAAAAAAACAAAAGAAAGGGAGATATATTGTACAAACGCGAAGAGAAGGAACTATGGATTGGCTAAAGATTTTTACGCATTTTCAAGTTCCTCAACGAAAGCTCGCAGGGGGTCAAGAGTAAAAGGTACTCGTTTAGAAGGATGGTCCCGCCGTTTGTGGTGAGTCCCATTCAAAAGCTTGTTTAAAAGTGTGGTCACGCCAGACAACTTGAACACAGAAATATCTCCAGAAATATTTTCTCTTTAAAATATCTCCAGAAAACATTCGTTATTAGTTCTTTTATGTTTTCGTGCTAGATGATATCGAATTTGAGGTGTTCATTCAAGGCGTTCGTAATATTGCAGGCTCTCAGGAAAAAATCAGATTCTGATTTTTGCAGTAGAAATTGTTTGCTTTCGTATTTTTTTATACTCTCATATCTTGTTTGTCCTTTTTCCTTAACACTTATGAAGTTTTTCCATTGTAGCTCAGTTTTTTCAATTGGGATTTTGTGCAGTGGCAGTGGAATGTGTAGTTCATGATAAAGTGACAGAGGAAGGATATGTAGGGAAATCAATCGATCTTTGTATTCTTGAGTTGGATTCAACATCCATGCTGTTGCTTTCTTTTTTTCAATTATTTTAAGATCTCTTTTTGAGGGTTTCAATAATGATGAGCCATAACTTACAATAGGTGCAACATATGATTTGCATGATTTTAATTTCTTGGCCTGATTTGTTAATTTGGAGATGTTTCTTTTCACAGAGCGCAATGCCTTCAGAGCTTTGGCAGAACTATTTGTAGCATTTTCAGTCCATTATTATGTGCTAGTGATTATAAGACCTAAATCTTTAATTTCTGCTGTTTCTTCGAGAACAGTTCCATTTACTTCAACTTTTGCATTTCCCTTCACAATGAGAATTTTTGTTTTTAACACATTTACTGGCATAAAAAATCTTTACACACCAACTCCAACTTCTCTTCGCATCGATATTTAAAATTGATGGGTCATTGCAAACAATTTTGTAATCGTCTGCGTAGCCAAAATTGGCTGACATGGCACAATCTGGTAAGTCATTTATATAGAGAATAAACATCAAAGGCCCGAGAATTTACCCCTGAGGCACACCACTGTGTACTGGTAAGGGCTCGGATGCTGCTTCTCCAATGCGAACGGTTCGTTTTCTATCTGTTGGATAAATTTTTAGTAGCTTTAAACATTGTCCCGTGAAACCAAAGCTCCTAATTTTTTCAATTATCATTGCGTGGTTCATCTTGTCGAAAGCCTTTTGGAAACCTAGGTAGAGGCAAGCCAGATAATTTGTTTCGATATTATCATAGTAACTATATACCTCATGGAGATACTCAATGAGGTTTGTAACAGTAGATCGTTTTTGTCGGAAGTCGTGTTGTGAGTTTGTGATGCTAAATTTTACTGATGAAATCAATTTATCGAAAATTAATTTTTCTAACACCTTTGAGATAAGCGTTAGCAGACTTATTGGCCGGTAGTTTGAGACAAGTTGTTTGTCTCCCTCTTTGAAGATAGGAATAATTTCGGTTATTTTCCATGTTGATGGAAAAACACATTTCTTAGAAATTGTGTTAAAAAGAAGAAAGAAAGATTTAGAGATAGAACAGTTTAGTTTTTTTTCGAAAGAATGTCTCCTAGGTTATCAGGTCCTTTGGTTTTGTTGATATCCAAGTTTTCGAGAATTTTTTCTATTTCCATTATGATAAAATAGAGAAGAGCTGTTTTACATTCATGAGATGGGTTATTCTTGCCTACAAAGAGAGAGTGGCTAAAAACTGACTGAAAGTATTTGTTAAACAAATAGGTTCTATCGATATTAGATGTAGCTCTTTGATCATTTAGGTAGGTTTCACCTGGGATTGTATCTGTTTTCCGAATACCTCTAAAATAATTTTGCAATTTTGAGAAGCTACCATCAACAAATAAGTTTTCTTCGTATGCTCTTTTGACTTCTCTGAAGTTTAACTCGAAGTGTTTTTCAATTGTTTTCGGTTTGTCTAACTGACATTCGGTCAGGTTTTTTTTCACATTTTCAGCGCATTGTATCTATAATTTTGATGAGATTTGATGTTTCAGATGTTACCCAAGGTGCCAGAGAACTTCGATGTTTTTTTCCTGGGTATGTGCTTTTCGATTATGTTAAGTAGCCAAGTGTACCACAGTTCAGTCATTAGATCAACTTTGCTGTAGCAGTATGGGTTAAATGGGTTTTCATTGATGTATTGATTTATTTCTTCCCAGTTTGCTTTCAAGAATGATAATCCCTGGAAAAAATTACGGTCATTTTTTTCGTTTTCTCTGATGTAATTATTTTTTAAAATTAGGTTGAGTTTTGCGTTGTAAGGAGGATGATCCGTTTTACAAAGGGATGTGAGTCTATTGTCTTTTTCCACGAGACTTAGCAAACTGGGTTGTTGCAGAGTTTTACGTCTAGTTGTACTTTTTCTTTTCCCGTTATCATTTGTTCGAAGTTAAAATCTGCAAGAGCAACCAGGAAGTCCTGTTCGTCTTCATCAGAGGAGATTAGGGTCAACCAGTCCGTTTGAGCAAAGTTGATGTCTCCAGTAATCATCACGTTTCTTACACTTAATTCTATTTGTTTTTGCCTAATAAAACACAGAAAACTCAGTAGGGCTTTTGACGACCAGCGGTATTTGCTTCCTTTGGGGGCACAGTATATGCAAGCTATAATGACGGGGTTTTCGATCAAGAGCTTGACTATTAGGCAGTCCTTGAAAGTTGAGAGTATGCAGTAGTGAGGTATTTCGTGGTTTATCGCAATTCTAACACCTCCGTATTTTGATTTGCCGCTAACTCTTTGCCTGTCAATCCTATGGATGTTAAATTTGTCAAGAAATATTGCTCCTGTCGTCACATTTTCCGTTAACCATGTCTCTGTTAGACAAATGATATCGCAGATGTTTTTAGATTGGCTGGCATTCGGGACGAGAGTTCTTCTAGAATATTCTAAGATGCTTCTGACATTATTGGATGGCATTGGATGGCATTCGGGACGAGAGTTCTTCTAGAATATTCTAAGATGCTTCTGACGTTATGATTTGCCGCTAACTCTTTGCCTGTCAATCCTATGGATGTTAAATTTGTCAAGAAATATTGATTTGCCGCTAACTCTTTGCCTGTCAGTCCTATGGATGTTAAATTTGTCAAGAAATATTGCTCCTGTCGTCACATTTTCAGTTAACCATGTCTCTGTTAGACAAATGATATCGTAGATGTTTTTAGATTGGATGGCATTCGGGACGAGAGTTCTTCTAGAATATTCTAAGATGCTTCTGACATTATTTAGTAGGAGAATAACTTTTTGTCTTAGTCAATTGTTGTCTGTTGTTTCAGATTTAGGCGATATCACTATCCATTGGTTTCCATCTCTTTTGTATGGCTTGCCATCCCTTAGACTAAGGTTTTTCTTATTTCGCCCCTGATCTATAAATTCTCTTCTTTTCTTTAAAAATTTCGTTTTCTATCGCGGCTTCTTCGTTTGTTATTTCCTTGCTATGAATACTGGAGCTCCATAGTTTTTCTGTTATCGTGCTGATGATGAGACCAACCATTTCAGCCATAAATTTGGCAGTTTAGGAATTATCATTCTGTCACGATCATTACCTCTTTGCCCTAGTCTAATCCATTCGTTGAACTTTCATTCAACCTCCATATGAGTCAGGATTTTTGTACTTCGCAGAAGTCGTGTTGTTGGCGCTTTCTAGGATCCTTGTCATCGCTCTCTTTTACTCCTCTAATCCTTATTCCTAATGTCTGGTTTTTTTTTGTTTCAATCCGATGTGGTTAAGTTTGATATTTTTTGATTTGGTTTTATTTCTGGTTGTTTTGCTGGTTTTGATATTATGTTTTTAATTTCCGAGACTGTCTCCTTAAGTTCTTTCATCTCATTTTCCTTTTTTGTCAAGTTTCTCCTCCTTTACTGGGTCTGGTTTTGCCAGTAGTGACTTTATCTAATCTTGTTGGTATGCCGAAACGCACGTGTAACACAGTAAAGTATGTTCTTGCTCAATTCCTTTATACCTGACAATGCGTTTTTACTAAGTTTGTTGAACTTTGCTGTCAGATGCATTCTAAATCCCTATGTTAGAAAATCAAAAGATTGGTCTCTTGCATTTATATTGCTATTGCAAGTTTTGCATGTATTTTCCGCCATTATGGTGGTGGTTTTCATTTCAACCTTTGGTTTTTCATTTCATTGGTGGTGTTTTTCATTTCGTTTCTAAGGGCACCTTTGAAGAAATAGGACAGGGACACATGTTCTCACCGGTGGTACCTAAGGGTACCTTTGGTAAAAACTTCGGGACTTGTTTTACTATTGAATGACCTTTGGAAAACCAATACTAAAAAGTATTAACCATTCTTTTGGCGTGGTTGATACAAACGGCTACAGTGGGAGTTGTTTGTTTTGCAGTTGACAACTTTCGTGTTTCCAGCGTCGTTCAATTCTTCTTTGTATTTCAAATACAAAACTTTTTCTTTGACTAGCATTTTGCCGTTGTTCGGATCGTCGTTGTCATAAAACATTTTTTTCTAAAAACCTCCCATTGAAGGCCTTCCACACAAGATTTGAGACATCATTATATAAAACTCACTTTTTAAGAATTTTATCACAACAATTAGGCTATTGGTTGGCCTCTGGTAATCTCTCAGTTTTAGGAATGAGTTCTTTG